CCCATCTGAATGGAGTTTCTGTAGGCAGCCAGAATTCAGTCCACAAAATCTTATAGTAAAGCTTTGAAGGTGGCAATGTACCAAACTGTCAATCATACCCAGAGCACACTGTAGAAGAGCAGTGCTTCATGATACCATCTCCATCGCCGTTATCATCATCATCTTACCTTTGCCATCAAATTTTCGTTTCGTCAAGTACCTCATCCTTTAAGTGAAGTTGTTTGTTATTCATTGAAATAATTGAAATAAAACTGCAGGAATAACATTGCAATGTTCATTTAATATTTCAAGTCTAAGGGAGACGATATGCAGCGAAATCTCTTGGAATGGAAGGGGGTGAAAAGAGGAAACTGGGTGTTGTTTGGCTTAAATTTGATGAAAATAAAGACGAGCACAAAATGCAACAAGAATGCTAAGCAAACTTTGCAAGGAAACTATGAAAAGAAAATAACATTTGGATATTGACACAGTGACATTAAGCCAATCAGTATGGCCACCACCCGACTTTTTCTCATACTCTGAAGACTTTTTCTGAGCTGAAGAAGTAAATTATATCATAAAATTAAATTATGCTGCATATCATATGTAATTTTCTGCAATGTATTTAAATGGAAACAAAGTTGCAGTGTGTTGGCGCAGCAGTAGCTCACAACATCAACGACGACAACAGCCAGCAAGCCAGTCAGCCACAGTAAAATGGAGAAACTAAGCTATGCAAATTTGTAATTCCATCCAATGCAGCAGTCCGTCGTTCATTGCTGCAACAATTTCTGCTTCATTTGCCAGCATTGGGTGAACAGGCAGACAGTGAGTGAGTGTGGAAGAGAAACAACTTCCCAGTGCATCTGCATTGGAATCTGGATGGGTTGACATTCATGCGAACATGCAGCAGAGTTGACTTTATGTTTTATTTTTTTGTTTTTTTTTGAATTTATCTGGGTGATGAATGAATGACAAACAAGCAATTGTATTGAATTTGGCCGTGGTCACTGGTCACTGCAGCAAGTCTGTGTTGACATTACCACCACCACAACAACAACAAAATAAATCCCACTATGACAACATCGAAAGTGTGTGGCATGTGACATACATATGAGGACGACACACCGCCGTTGACCTCTTCCCAAACAAAAACAAAAAAAATCGAAATCAAATTTAAAATAAACAAACAGAAAGGCGTTTACACAACAATTATGAAATGAGGTGTTTAACCTGACACCCCAACCAAACACTCAGTCAACGACTATAGAAACCCCCAAAAGCCATGTCTCCTACTACCAGTTGGGTAGTAGTAGCAGTATTATGCGATTTCTAGTTTTACGTCAGAATATTTATTGTTCTTCCTAACCGCAAACACTTTTTTTCGTTTTGCTTTCACATCTCTCCTTTTTTTTGGTTCAATGCAGATATCACATTTGTTAGGTATATGTAACTGGCAATCATATTAGACCAAAATATATAAATGCACATATGTAGATGTGTAAATATCGATTAGTAGAATTGGGTGACAAGAAAAAGGTCATAGCCTTGATATGATTCAGTTTTTGCGAGAAACAGTAAAAGAAAGAGATCAATGTAATGACAATTGACTTCAAATAAATAAAATTGGGATTCATTGCCTTGTTATAACATTTAAAACCGAGGAAATATGAAGTAAGCAAAACCCGAGGAAAGATTGACCGTTCCAAATGTTTTTTTTTTTTTTTCATTTTCTAATTGCTTCCATATAGAAAGTTATTTTCCCTTGAAAATCAGACAATTCCGTTGAAAATGTGGCTAAAATCATCAAAAGACCGAATATCGGGGGGTATCGTTATATGGGGGCTATACGATATCGCGGACCTATATACACAATTATCCTTCTGGGGGTAAAGTACTCAAAAAGAACTCCTTGTGTAGAATTTCAGACAATTCTATTGTAAAACGTGGCTAAAATTATCAAAATACCGAATATCGGGGGTACCGTTATATGGGGGCTATACGATATGATGGACCGATGTAGCCCATCTTCAAACTTGTCCTGCCTGCAGACAAAAGATAGACCCGTGCAAAATTTTAGCTTCCTATCTTAATTCATTTTGACTGTAGCGTGATTACAACAGACGGACATACGGATAGACGGACGGACGGATAGAGCTAAATCGCCTTAGAATTTGACGCTGATTAAGAATTTATATACTTTGTTGTGTCTTAAATTATTATTTCGATGAGTTACAAACGGTGGAGGGTATAAAAACATTAAATTAGAATGGGCCGAACTTTTAATACCCTCCCACATTGGCTAAAGAAAACATGTTTATATAAAGGTATCTGAGTTCAAACGTGTTCCACTTTAGACTACAAATACCAGTAAGACCGTTTGAATAATATTGTTAAACTTAAAAAAAAAAACATAAAGTGGGTGAATGGCCTCACCTCATATAAAGGCCATACCAAAACGGGAACCTTTATAGACAATTTTATACTTTAAGGATTCTCATATACCAAATCTTCTAAAATACCAAATTTGAAACAATATCGTGGGTAAATGTGAGTAGGATTATCGAAATACCGAATATCGGTGGGTATCGTTATATGTGCGCTATAGGAAAGCGTGGACCTAAATATTCAATATTCTGCCACCGAGGCTAGAACCCATTATGAACTACAAAAACCAATTTTTAAAAAAATCCGTATGAAAATCTGGCAAAAATCGGCACAATACCGAATATCGGGAGGTACCGTTATATGAGGGCTATGCAAAAACTTGGCTATAATATGTTCTGCCATTGGAGCTAGAACCTATTACGAACTACAAATACGAATTTTTGGACATATCCGTGGAAAAATTTGGCAATAATCATAAAAACCGTTATATGGCGGCTATACCAAAACGAGGACGATATATCTCATTTTCAATACCAACCATCCTATACGCAATATTATTCTGCCAAATTTTGGAAGCTCTACGTCAAATAATTTGATTTTAAGATAATTGGATTCTCAATTCGATGTCCGTCAAGATAAAATTAAATTTAATTAGCAAAGACACAAATCAATGTGATTGTTTCTCCGGTTCAGAAAGGGTTAATAAAGAGTGAGAGAGAGAGAGAGAGAGGTAGTAACCAGAGAAATATTATTGGTACTTTAAGTTATATTAGTTTTGATCACATTTCAAAATTTTCCGTACACATTTCAAATTTACAATAAAATCGCAAAATAAAAACCTAATTAAAATCTACGTTGAAGAAGTTTAAAACGTTTACGTTGAACAAGTTTTAAACCCAGAAAAAAATATTTGAATATGAAGGGGGGTTAAGGCTTTGCACAAATGAAAGGCCTCGAGGAGTATTTTCCGTATATAGGGACCATACATGCAAAAAGATTTAAGAATTTTTCGAATTTTCTAAAGAATTATCGCTCAATTTTTGACCCGAAAGTACGGGATTCTAATCAGTTCATTAAAATTATGTTTTCAATAAAAAAACCTTTGTTTCGCGTAGCCGGCGTTAGACTTACAAAAGTATCAAATTTAGAAAAAATTAGCAGTTGTGGGACTTACCCAGAGTAGAAAATCTCAAGCCTCGTCTTCTTCTCGGCCGGCTTCTTACAAAAAGTATCAAATTTACAAAAACGTTGGTTCGCCTTAGCCGGTGTAGGACATACCGAAAGGAGAAAACCTCAAGCCCCGGCAACAACTGTTAAATTAAAAAAAAACTTTAGTTCGCGTAGCCGAAAAGAATATCTCTGGTCCCGAAAAAAGGTATTAGCCCCTCATAATGGGCCCTTTTACGACTTTTTGGGGGTTTTTATAAAAAATACGGCTACAAAAAGTCAATAATTCGACTGTAACTTCCGAGGCGCTTTAAATAACATATGACGACTTAGCGGGTAAGTACATCCGGGCCTTGAACCCGGACTTTCGGGTCAAAAATCTGGAGTCCCGGGTCCGTTCCCCAAGAAAAAAGTTTCCCGGAATCAGGACAAAAATGCCTACCTCTGGAAAAAAAAATCGAAAGCTTTTACTAAATTAGAGTTGTCCCAAGATCTCTGATGTAAATGGTATGTTGAAAATATAGACATATTCTCAATTCTCTAGGTATATTTCTATATTTTGTCTCTCAAATACTGGTAACTGCCTGTAGTTGATATTTCAATTAAAAAAACAAATAAGCAATGGATATAGTCGTGGGACCGTGTGATACCCCACAACACTATAAAAAATTGAAAAACCTCACGATCATTTGCTTCTATTCTGACCTTAACCCTACATTTTCAATTTTGTGTGAATCGGGCCATAATTGAGACCGACTTTCGATAAGAAAAACACAACTACTATAAATAAAATATAAATAAAAAATAAAAATTCGTTTCATCATGAACGCTGTGTAATTCAAAACTTAATTAGCTTGTGGTTAATATTTTGATATTAAGGTAGAATTTTGTGTTTTATAATCGAGTGAAAATAGTTATTCCAGAAAAACTAATTTCAGTATGTCGATTTATCTCCGTTTTCCGTGATTTCACTACTCTGTGGGACGTGTAATATACTATTGGCCAGTAAAGCTTCTCTAATTGTGCTTGAATATATAAAATAAATAAATTTCGATATTTTCCGTTTTAATTTCACGAATTCTTATCGTAACCTACCATAAAGGTTGTTTTCAGAATTTCAACTGGTATTATCTTAATTACATTTGAAAACCGGTACCTATATTCCTTTGTTTTCTAAACACTGTGCTCGATTGATAATCTAATTGGCGTTTGATTAGAGTAGACCACCATCATAATTTGGGCATAAAACAAGCAATACGTGCACAATAAACAACAACAACTGCGGCGACGACGACGACCTACATGTCATGTAAACAAACACCAAAAATGGGTATTAAAAGTAAACAATAATAAATATTAATACAACAACAAGAACACTGCTACAAAGGTACAAAAAAACAGTCCTTATGTGAGCACAATGCAATTGTGCAACAAAAACAACAACAATGTATGAGTACTTCACTTACCTTATCCAAACACTTCAACTCCTCGATGGGATAGACCACCTTCTGACAGCGAGCACAGGTTTTATTCATTTTTGCACAATTCCTTCGTCGTTTAGTGTCAAACAAACGATTCTACAGATGGAGTTTGTTGTGGTTGTTGTTGTTTGTATTTATTTCTCGTTATGTTTTAGCCTTTAAGAATTGAAAGAAAACGATGATATGGTGATGAATTTAAATTTCAGAAGAATAGAAGAAATAAGTTGGGGGGCAACAAATAATGCAAATAATAATGGTCGAGCAGCAGCAGCTGGTTAATTCAATGAGAATCTTATTGGGCAACTCTCAAGTACTTTATCTCTCACTCTCTCGCAGAGTAATTGATGGCAATAAGAATGTAATGAGAGTAAAATCAAATTACACACAAACATACAATTATTTTGCAAATTCACTTCAGATATATGCTGTTGTTGTTGGTATGTATGATCCCCCTTCTCAGAGACACTAATTTTATTATTACTGTCGTTGTTGTTGTTAGTTGTATTATTTTTATAACACAGACTGGAACTGTTGCTTTTATTTGTTATTATTGTACTGGTTTTTGTTGTTGTGGTTGCTGGCTTAGAGATCTTGTTGCCGAATTGTTGATGTTGTTTCTTTTCGTTGTGGTTGTTGTTGTTGTTAATTTGCTCCACCACACTGGACTGGTTTGGTTCGTTTGTGATCGTTTTGTTGTTGTTACTGCTGCTGCTGTAAAAATGTTCTTCTTTATTCACTCGCGCACACACAAACACAGGCGGGCAACAACTTCATCGAAAAGGGAGAGAGAACTTAAATTGGGAGATGAAACAATTTTATGAAATTAACCAAAAAAAAAACAAAGGGAATTTTTTTCTATTTTGACAATGAAATTTTGTAATTTTTATTAATTTTTATGTGAAAAAAATATATTTTCCAATTTGAAAATCTTGTTGTCTAATGGAATTTTTTCTTTTGACTTAAATACCTATGAAGCAAAAATCAAAGAACACTAATTTATTTAAAACTTTTTTTTAAGATTTTTCATTAACTTTTCAGTTGGCTTTTCTTGTTTTATTAAACAATAGTAGAATTAGGTACACAACATCACAAACACAGGCACACAAACTTCTTTGAAGCTGGCTGCTCCCCACTCTATCTACGGTTCTTGAAGTTGGAGGAACTGTTGCTGGAGTTTTGTTACTTTGTTGCTTTTATTTTCTTTCTTGGATTTCTTTGTGTCTCCACTATTTACTGGAGATACGATCACTTCTTTTTTTGCTTCTTTCAAAAACCAAAGAAAAAAGCTTCTTTTAACATGGAAATATTTTTTTAATATTCAAACACTCCACCAACCTGTTGCAAAAACACTTTAATTTTTCCGATTCGCAATATTTATTTATTGCTATTGCTTATTTTTATTCGCTTAATCGCAATTGAATTCAAATTTATCAATGCTTCTTCTTTTGGCTATGATGGGGGGTTTTTTGTGGCGTTTAACTTTACGACGGCGACAACGACTACGACGACAACTTCTCGCAAGTAAATTTCAAAATAAAATGAATTCGAAGTGTGAGAGCAAGAGCATTACAGTGGCACGCCGTACAATGGAGTTAACGGCGTCATCTGCAATACACAACGTTTTGTGAGTCGCATTAAATTGAAACGTATGACGATGGCATAGAAATAGACATGTACGTCTTTAAAATAGGTTGGTTTTCCTTTAGAGGAGTGAAATGTGGTGAATATCGCAGTGAATTTCAGCTGCAATGTTAAATGTTGAACAAAGTCGAGTGTGGCAAAATCCATGGTACAATGGAAAAATAACAAGTGACAATGTACTGTCAACCCAATTATAAAATTAAAAGTTTTGAATGAAAAATTATACAAATATGTAAAAATTGTTTAAAATCGCTTATTTAAATTACCTCCGATTGACGTCGTATAAGAAAACCATGGTAGAAAAATACAGGTAGATGCACAACGCTTGGGAACATTGATATGTCAAAAAGTTTTAAATGTTCTATTAAATATAAGTAGAATTTTATATGTTTTCTTATACGACGTCATTCGGGGGTTTCCATCTGTGATTTGTGTATCTACAATGGATTTATAAAAATATATTATAACAATGAGATGTTGTCAAACGAATAATTTGGAAAAAAATTGTAAACATATGTTTGCATGACTGTACCTTCTTGATTCTACTATACATATAATTGTACCTCCCTACATTCGGTAGTTTTATTAATTTATCCACATTTTCCAACGGATTTGTTTAAAAATTGGCAAATGGGTTCTCGCTGCGGTGACAAAACATTAAATATCTAGGTCCATGGTTTCCTATAGCGCACATATAACGGTACCTACCGATATTCGTTATTTCGATAATCCTAGTCACATTTACCCACGACTTCTTTTAAATTTGACATTTAAAACTCGCAATAGAAAAAAATGTATATTGTCTATTATGTCAACAATTTTTACAAATTTAAATAATTTTTCATTCAACATTTTCAATTCCAAAATTGGTTTGACAGCTCATTGTCCCAGCAGCTGCGTCTACCTATATTCTTCTACCATGCACAAAGCGCACTCAAACACCCTCGACGTATAACTGTTATTTAGGTACGCTACCTTAATGTGTTGAGTAAATGACAGTTGTGTTGGCACAAACAACGATTTTCTGGTTTCCGTTCTCATTAACAGTTATCAACTGTCAAATTGCTTTCAGACGAAAAGGATATCACAAAACGGGAATCCTTTGACATAATCGAATTTTCAATGATTTTCAATACATTAAGGGCGGAGGACTCTTTCATATACTAGAGTCATAAAACAAAGAAAACGCTTCAAAATTGGAAATAAATATAAAATAACAAGAAAATTTATATGAAAATCCATAGAAAATTCAAATATTCCAAAAGTGCTACAGCAAAAAATTTATGAAAAAAAGCAAGTCGAAGGAAAAATTCTACTCGGTGTTATACAGAAAAAAATTTTCGTCATAAGTGAAATGAGATTTTTATGAGCGAAACTATAAAGCTTTTGCAATGAAAAACGGGAAATATTGCACAATAAATATATTCAAAAGATATACAATTTGCTGAAATGTAATGTGTGTTTCAAATGATATGCCGTTTTGAAATTAAATCCGTCTAATTGTGACAAATATTTAGTGTTTTATAATAAATTAAGAAAATTCCAAACAAACAAAGAAGAAATGCAAAACTGCAAATGATGTACTGAAAATGGAGCAAATCTATTAAACAATAATTTACAATTCAATTAGAAAATTTCCAATCAGAAATCGGCCAACTAACAAAACCCCATCAGACGTAATTCGTTGTTGTTCACTTTGAATGAGTAAGTGAAAAATCGATAAAACTTGCTGTATTCTTCCTTCGGCAGTGTGCGTGAATTGTATGGAAGCCGGTGAATTGAAAATATCTACATACATATATACGAAACGCGCATCGTAGCCTCCTCCAGCAAGTCGGGCAGTCAGTGTCTGTGTAACAATTATTTTATTTCGTGAGTTTGTTGATTTTTTATTGAATCAGCAACCACCCTCTTTTCGTCAAGGAAGAAAAACAAAGAAATATAGTAAAGAATCGACGTATTGCCATTAACCGTTACCAACACTTACCACCCCTCTCCCTCTCTCTGCCTTGTATGTTTTGTGGTGGTTAACTGTGTAAATTTGGTCATTGTGTTGCCGGAGAAAAATATAATCGCATCATACATGAACAAAACAAAATATAAATAAAATTTGACACATAAAACCGAAGAAAAAAAGAAAAACCACAAAACCAACTTTTGCAAAAACAAAGTAAATAATTGAAAGTTTTTTTTTAGTTAAAAATATAATTGTTTTACTCATTATTTCTTTTGTTTCGTGATATCATTGACGGTTATTCGGAAGGGTTGTTATTGTCAGTGTATGCCATCATCATCTTCATCATCATCAGCCCTCCACACACACAACTCTATCACCCACACCAACCACCATGATTGATTGACATAATCTCATCGTGTTTCTCTTGGTTTGTTTGTGTTTCTTTCATTCACCCTCCCGGTTGACATTCAAAGTGATATTTGTTTACTTTTTTATCTTTGTGTTATCATTCAATGCGAATGCGGCTATACTGCTGGAATGTTTACATTTTTTTTTCATTTTCATATGACCGTGTGTTTATTTCCTTGATTTCCCCCGTAATATAATAGATCGGCAGTAACGAAAGAAAGTGCCGTAGGTGAGAGAGTGCATGTGAGTGAAACCATTGACCACTGTGAAACGAACTAAAAGAGAGAGGAGCAAAATAAAAAATAAAAAAACAAAATAATTTCACTCTCACAGCTGTTTTGTGGATTTGTGTAAACGCGTCACGTTATAAACGTTGCAGCGCCCGGATGTCAAACAATTTTTCAAAAATATGCAAACCCTAAGAAAGAAAACAAGCCCCTGTAAATGTAAGTATAGCCTATCCTAGGTATAAATAATTAGGTGTGTCTGGTTACCCTAAAGTTTGTAACAATTGTTACAAATTGTTACTGGAAGTCGTCTGTTAACCCAAAAGTTCTGCAAAAGAGAGCGGTTGGAGAGAGAAATTTTGACAGTTCTTTCAGTGAGAGTTTGCAAATTCTTGCTGGAAAAATTTCTTCTTGCAATCACTTGCAACTCTTCTTCTTCTCATTCAACGAAATTCAATCAGATGTTTTCTATTGTTTGTTTATTTATTTTTGTGCTTTCAATTTGAAAATTTTTTTTTGGAATTAGCAAGACTAATAGTTTTTGGAGAACGACTTTACAAAATGTGAAAAACGTAAATGTTAACATGTAATAAGAAAATAAAAGACTATTTCCAACATTTTTATTTAAAAAACCTGTAAAATTAGTATTGCTTCCTTTGTTTTAATTCTCCTTATGGGGGACAAATTGGTTTGTTTTGACAAATCAGCTGATTAGTTGCAAGCTTCTGCAGGAATACCGTCTGTTTACTTTTCGCATTTTTCTTGCAAAAGAGAATAAAACTACCTTACTCTCTCAGAAAGAAGTTACTGGACAATTCCTGCTGGAAAAGTAACCAGACACACCTATTATGTAGTTATTAAATTGTGGTAAAAATATAAATAAATTATGGGTGCAGTGTAAAAGTATGTATGTTGGGACCATGGTAGATGCAGCAATGCTTGGGAACATTGATATGTCCAAAATTTTTAAAATGATTTTTCAAAACTAAGTAGATTTTTATATGTTTTTCTACACGACAGCAATCGCAGATTGTTATAATATGGATTTTTTACGAATTTTTACAAATTTGAATAATTTTTCATTTAAAATGTTTAATTCCAAAAATGGTTTGTGTCCATGACAATGGACTGTCAAACCAATATTCGAATTGAAATTTTTGAATTAAAATTTATTTAAGTTTATAAAAATTGTTAAAAATGCATATCATAAAAACCTCCGATTGGTATCGCATAAGCAAACTTATAAAAATCTGCTTATTTTTGAAAAAAAAAAAAAAAACATTTGAAAAATGTTGACATATATATGTCAATGTTCCCAATGTTCCCAAGCGTTGATTCATCTACATGTATTCTTATACCCAAAATAAATCGAGAGTTTTTCAATTGCATTGGTAAAAAACAAACTTCACAATTTTTTGTTATCAAATGAAATCAACTCTGAAATCCTGTAGATATCAGTTGACGTATACGCAATTGAATAAAAATTTAAAATTCACTTTGAAGCTACCTTAAATTGTGTCTAGAGTTTCAAACGTCAATTTCATAGCGTATATGTCACGTAAATTTCATTTATAAATCTATTGGATATTATTTGACATATAGGCTATGGAATTGACTTTTGTGAACGAGTGCTTATATGTTAATATACTCAGCAAAAATACATGGCAGAAGAATATAGGTATACGCGTCTGCACAGCTGCAGGGACAATGAACTGTCAAACCAATTTTGGAATTGAAAATGTTGAATGAAAAATTATTTAAATTTATAAAAATTGTTGAAAACTCGAATTAAAATAACCTCCATGACGTCGTATAAGAAAACATACAAAAATCTACTTATATTTGAAAAAACATTTAAAAATTTTTGACATATCAATGTTCCCAAACGTTGATGCATCTACCTGTATTTTTCTACCATGGATATTACCATGGTAGAAGAATATAGGTAAACGCTTCGACCATGGCAGAAGAATACAGGTAGATGCATCAACGCGTGGGAGCATTGATATGTCAAAAAAATTGAAATGTTTTTAAAATATAAGTAGATTTTTATATGTTTTCTTATTCTAAGTTAGAAGGAGGCTATAATAAATCGCGTTTTTCAAAAATTTTTGCAAATTAAAATAATTTTTCATTTAACATTTTCAATTCCAAAATTGGTTTGACAGTTCATTGTCCCAGCAGCTGTGTCGACTCGACTACCTATATTCTTCTACCATGGCTTCGACACAGCTGCTGGGACAATGATCTGTCAAACCAATTTTTGAATCGAAATTGTTGAATGAAAAATTACTCAAATTTGTAAATATTGTTAAAAAATGCATATTATAACAACCGCCGATTGGCGTCGTGTAGGAAAACATATACAAATATACCTATTTTTGAAGAAATTTTATAAAAAATTTTGACATCAATGTTCCCAAGCGTTGATGCATCTACCTATATTCTTCTACCATGTTTATTTCGCAAAATTGTACAAGGAAGGTACTATGGTAGAAGAATACAGGTAGTCGCATCGACACAGCTGCTGGGACAATGAACTGTCAAACCGATTTTGGAATTGAAAATGTTGAATGAAAAATTATTAAAATTTGTAAAAATTGTTGAAAAATTCATATTATAACAACCTATGATTTGCGTCGTATAAAAAAAAACCTTTAAAAATCCACTTATTTTTATCCACTTATTTTATTTTTCATAACACATTTTAAAAATTTTGCCATACCTATTTTCCCAAGTTATAAAAATATGTTCTTATTTCCACGATGGATTGCTTTGTTTCAAAAAGCGGTTAAATTAACCTGGCGTTTTCACCAGAAAATTTGTCTTGAAGTAGAGTTGTATTTTACTACCCCATTCACACTACTTCGATTACTTTTGTCACAAAGAAAATCAATTGAATGTTGCAGAAAACCAGAAGTACAATATAAACAAACGAATTAGGGATTTAAGAGGAATGTAGATTTTTATTAGGTTTTCATTTTTACTATTACAATTGTTTTTTGCAAATTATCTGTACGACTATATGAACTCTATTTTCCTGTGATTTGTAAACGCGGACTCAAGGAGAACAATTTTGACAGTTCTTTGTTCGTACCAGTTAAAAAGAGAAGCACGAAATAATAGAAACAAAACAATTATTAAAAAATAAACATTTTTCCTTTCATTTTGATATTGGGCTAAGCCGTTGAGAACAAAGACAGTTTTGTTTACAAAAATTAACTGCGATCGATAACCCCGTCACTGCTTTTTGCTGGCTCTGAATTGTAAACAAACACACACACGCACAATTCATTCTCGATCTGTATCTATGTTAAAAACAATCTGAAAGATGCATTTGCTGTCGCATTCCACGGCGAGTATCTAAAGCAGCAGCTGCAAATTATAGCTGACTGCTTCCTATTATTGTTATTGTTTTAAAAACCGAAACATACGTGCATAGAATAAGAGCGGGAGATAATCGGCATTCGATTGAATTTAAACAACTATTGAGAAGTGAACTAAACAAATCAATTTACGTATTAAATTCAATTTGTGTGTGGTTTTGGAAATAGTTGTGTGGACAAGTTTGTATTAAATGAAAAAAACAAAATTTGTGGCTAGATGTTTTGCAAGCAAACACACACACTCACAAATCGTCTTGTGAGATGAAATTATAGAATAGAATCCAGCAGCAGCCAGACTGCCAGACAGACGGACAAATGTGATGCGATGTGTGGAGCCAGCCAGCAAATACAGTAAACTGGTTGCCCTCCTTACTTTGCCCTAAATTTGGAATGAAAGCTTTGAAAGAGAGTAAAGAAGAATGTGAAACAGAAAGAATGAAAATTAGTAACACAAACAAACGCCAATTGTTTTTGTAACGAGAAATTAAAGTGAAATGAATGAACCAATTGTAAACACAGCATTTGAACATCCCAATAGCTGGCCAACCTATCTCCACAGTTGGGTTATCTTGAAGCGTAACTAATCGCGAAGTGTATTTATTATCGGCATCATTATCGCCACCCACAAAACTGGCCGTTCGTTCGTACGTTCATCGGGTGTACCAAAGGTCTTTGTTGCAGATTTGTGTCCCAGCCTAAGGGACGGGGATGGTGTCTGAATGCCTTGTCTGCCGCCTTTGTTATCTAGATGTATGAGACTGTGACATTTCGAAAACAATAACTGGAGCAGGCTAAGTTGAACAGTGGGAGGCGAGTGCGACAATCTACTCATGTTTGTCGTGTAGTTGACGACTTCTGTGGTGCTCTGGCTCGGTTCACCGTTTTGTGTCTAGCCAGTCTCATTCGTTCGCTATGTTTATTTAATTCAATTGCCGCAGCAATATTGTAAACACAGAATTTCATTGCATCATTAGAGAGAACAAAACAAAAAAAAAAAAAAAAACACAAATACCAATTGAAGGTGGTATATGACACCCCTGGAAAACATCATCGTCTGGCGCTTGCAGCATCTCAAGAATACACATAGATGGTTAATTGTACACTATGGTAAAATCATTGGTATCGAAACTGTCTGCAGCCTCGTCGACACTCTCCATTGCCAGTAGTTTTAGTAGCAGTCATTCCAAACATGATGCCAGCACCCACAATGGGACATCGACAGCCATCTCTGGGGACAATTATATGAAGTGTATGTTCTTTGCTATCATTGTTGTTGTTGTGGTTTTTATTATTACTATTAGTTAAATGCTTTATTGCCTACACATGATGAATGGTAATTGTATTGACTGGGAGTAGATGTACATTGGAGGACATCAAAAGAACATTCAATTATCGACATTGACAATTTTGTAAAATTGAATACATATTGCATATTTGTTGTTTTATTGAAATGGCAGTTTCAGTGTGAATTTCTATTCATATTGTGCCTCTGAAACAAATTATCATGTTTCTTAGAATAGAAATTCCTCAAGTATGTTGTAATTGTTTTAGTTTTTAGGAACTAAACGTTAATAGTTTGGTTATCGAAATGATAATATAAATTAAGTAAGGTTAAGGGTAACTTGGGAACAATTTGTAAATTTTGAAAATAAGCAGCCTTTAGGGTCTGTGATAACAAAATGCGTAGGTTTCATGTTACAGATGTCCGTCCATACTTCCCGAGGTATGGATATTCAAGATTCTGTAGCTTTTTCTTTTAAAGACCGATATATTTGGATATCAATATTAAGATCTTGGTGTCCCTCTTACGTTACCACTCACAAGATTTCACAATTTTGAAAGAATATTTTTGCACTGGCCACTGTTGGGCCAGTATTTATATGTAAAGTCTTTAAATTCTGGTGAAATGCAGGTTACCCACACAAAAAGACTTGGTTTTTCAAAAGTGTGTGCTTCCACAGAAAATACATTAAATCGTTGGTACCATGACCTCAAGGGCATCATAATGACAAAATCAATCGAATATAGTCTCCAACAGGACCGATAGAGTTACTTGTAACATTTTCAAACGATTTCCAAATGGCCCTGTATTTATTTTACTCTAAAAATATTCTATATTTTACAGATTTGTATAAAAAAAGGTATTTCAGGAGCCTTCTATGATCAACTTTTATAATTTCCTTGATTTAAAGACTACCTCCTATGGACAGAAACTTCTTTTAGATTCTCTATAGATAAGAACCATTTTGCAGGCATATTATAGATATTGATATTTTACAGAATATGACCTTAATAAGGTCTTCAATGAATAGAAAACGGTGTTTTTGATAAAGGACTTTTAGATCTTCTATGGAATACGTCTTCTATTAATGACATATTTTTCAAAAGTAATCTAGCGATGGATAACATATTCAATGTCTTCTACACATATGGCCATTTATAATCTCTTATGGTTAGATTTAAAAAAAGAGCTTCTGGAGGACTTCAAAAAATAAAAAAAAACTTCAACAAAGTTAAACGCCATAATTTTTACATTTTTTTAATTGTATTGAATGAAAGAGAAAAATGTCGAAAATAGCATCAAATTTTAGAATAAGTTTAGATTTGTTCGAAATGGTCACCTTTGACACGAATTATGGCCTTCAAACGGCCATTGAAACCGTCACACACTGCCTGAATGTTGCTCTGCGATATTTTGGCTCATTCCCGGCAAAGCGCTTGCTTGAGGTGATCGACACTTTGGTATTTTTTAGTGCCAACCTGGCTTTCCAAAATACCCCAGACACAATGGTCCAACGGATTGGTATCCGGAGATTTTGGTGACCATTGTGCGCTGGAAATGAAGCGAGGAACCTCATTTTGTCACCATTCTTGGGTGGCGCCTGCTGAGTGCGAAGGTGCTGAGTCCAAGGTCTGCGGCCAAAATGTTGGCGTGCACAAGGCTTTATTACAGCCTCTAGAATATTTTCGCGATAATGTTCGGCATTTATTCTGATGCCACAGTCGATTAATACGAGCGGAAAGCGACCATCGGCTGTTATGGCGGCCCACACCATCACTTGAGTTCTGGTGGCCAACAGAAGGTGCACACTTTCAGCTGACCTCTTTAGCAAGTAAATACGATCATTTTGTTTGTTTACAAACTGCTGGACTACGAATGTTTTCTCATCGGAAAAACCCAAATTCGGTAGTTCATCACTTTTGGGCAAGCGAAGCCACTCTTTAGCTCTTTTCAGTCTATTTTCTTTCTATTGCGGCGTAAGTTCTTGCACTTTTTGGAAATGGCTTAACCCCGAGCTCATTTTTTAATATTTGCCGAATGGTATATTGTGATATGTGCAGCTCACGAGCTATTTTTCGGCCTCTGCGACGCGAGTTTCCATCAAGTCGCTTCTTTACTTTTCGAACCATTTTCTGCTGATGTTGAGGTTTTTTTCGTCCACTTCCTTGATGTCGGGCTACGCTACCAGTATCACGGTAACAAACGATGGTACGAGACACATAAGATTTATTCACATTTAAATGCTGGAGTGCTCTAACGATAGCCACTTGTCCAGCCAAATATAAAGAAATCACACTATCACGCTAGAATTCCATCACGAATAACTTATTTTTTCTGGAAAATTCTCACCAAAATGCTTTTGTACGCTTGTAAACAATATAATGATCTGTCATTGGAATATTTTTAACATCTTTCGGACAAGTGGCTTAGAAATGACAACAGTCTGAAGTTGGTTGCAGTTTTTTCAACTCACCCTGTGTATTAGATACAATTTTTATTGTTATAAAACCAAAATTTTCCAAAAGGTTCAATATTTTTACTCTCTCTTATTAATTCGCTTCTCATAATCTCATAACACATCTAAATAATTCTCATTTTTTTCAGATCGTAATGATCCGGGGCGTTTCTTTGGCGATGGCGTACAATTCAAAGCCAAACTCATTGGCATTCTGGAGGTGGGCGAGGCACGTGGCGATCGCATGTGCCAAGAGGCCCTACAAGATTTGAAAATGGCCATTAGGGCAGCTGGAGAGCACAAGCAACGCATCACCATACATGTAACCATTGATGGCTTGCGATTGCGTGATGAGAAAACTGGTGACTCTTTGTATCATCATCCGGTGCATAAAATATCGTTTATTGCCCAAGATATGACCGATTCACGGGCATTTGGTTATATATTCGGTTCACCGGATAGTGGTCATCGATTTTTTGGGATTAAAACGGATAAGGCTGCTTCACAGGTGGTACTGGCTATGCGTGATCTCTTTCAAGTGGTGTTTGAGTTAAAGAAAAAGGAAATTGAATTGGCACGCCAGCAGATACAATCGAAATCTATGCATCATCATGATCAACATCAATTGTCGTCGTTGTCATCGCTGAAGAGTGCCGGTACAACAGGTGGTCAAAATGATTTGTCCGGTGGTTTGGGTGTGGGAGGTTCAAGCAATTCCGCAGCCACTCTAAGTATGTTAAATAATATGGCCAGTAGTTCTACAAACACGCCATCTAATAACCGTCTAGGAGTCAACATTGATTCGAAAGGAGCTTCAAAAGAGGTAAGCCAATAATGTATGACAAAAAAGGATTGTTTTTTACTAATAAATTTTGAACTTTTGTAGATATCTCCAGAATCTGTGGCAGATTTAGTCGACCTAGAACAGGAGTTGAGTTCTCTACAAAGAGGTATTAACCAAATGGAACGCATAACCCCAAATGATGGCACGGTATCTAAAAACTCAATTGGAAATGATGATCCCTTTGGCGATTCCTTTTCCAATTTTCCGGTAAAGTTTTATACGGTATTTAAGCTTTTCAATATGACTAAATTGATTTCCTCTATTAACAGGCCTTGCCACCACCAGAACCTGGACGTTCGCGTAGCAAAACTTCAGCCAAAAGTATTGATTTATCGAACACAGCCAATGTTGCTACCTCGTCGTTGCTCTCCCCTTCTGCCACACAGACACGACAGTCACCCGTCTCTTCAACGGGTACATGTGCCATTGCACCATCTCTACAGCCCATGGACGATGATGATAGTTGGTTGCGTGAATTAGATGCCCATAATGATGTGTTCGATACATCAAAAACCATGATGCCTGGTCTAATGGGTATGCCGCCATTAGCCTCAGCGCTAGCCAGCAGTGTACCTCTGACATCACGTGCCCCATTGGCACCCCGTGAATCTACTGCAACACCTCCCAGTCATATTTATGAGACTGTTTCATGTTCGACATCGTCTGCCATGCCGACTATGAATGAAATAACAAATATCACCAATACAACTACGGCCACAAATGCCGAAACGAATTCCATAGCAAATAGTTCTAGTCTTACGGATATTTTCCAAACGACAGCTGCCTCAGCAGATACATCAAAAGTAGAAATAAAATCCGGTGAGTTTGTAGCGTTAATGGAATTGAAATCAATATTCCACATGACCTGCACGTGTACCTACCTACCTATTTCAGTTTGTTGTCATCACACTAACGTTTCATATATTAACACACCGTTACCACTATTATATTATTTTCTTAAATATCACCCAGTTTTATGTTCGAAAATGAATTTTTATTTAGTTTTACGCACTATATCATAAACCAACGACATTAACCACATTAGTCATTGGGGGATTGTAGTGTTGTTACTTACGATGTGGCTAAGCTTTTCAAAGGCTAGTTTTACCGGCACTAATTACTTCTGTTTTTTGTGCTTAGATTTTAAAATCGACTACACTGTGGGTGACATTGGTTATGTGTTTTCTTAAAATTGAATTTAAAGAAATGAACATTTATTTTAAAGGGCTATGTGAATTTTATTGTTTTGCCTCAGCTCCCGTTTAAATTTCTTTCGTTTTTATACGGAACTATTTCCATTTTTATTAACCTATCAAAATGTTTTTGTACAGCTTTAAAGACATACATTTTGTATCTGAACCTTAACCTCTATAAAACGTTACTTTCAATAGCCTGAAGGTTGCTTCAATTTAGGAAAAATAAACTATTTTTAGTCATGTCACAAAGGCTAGTATCTTTCAGATAGTTATAGTTGTTGCCTAGGTTTCTACAGATAATTATAGAAGAAATATTTAAAGACATTCTTAAAGCATTATTGAATATTTTATAATATATTAACCATGGATATTAGTATGACCTACCTTGAGTCCATCCAGAAGGCATTATGAGATCTTATCGGCAATGTATATGCAGTTGGGAGTCTATTTTAGAAACATTTTACTTAGTATATAAATAGGAAATTTATCAGTTCGTTTTTATGAAAACGGATCAAAACTGCAAAAAAAAAAAGCCACGACATTTGTTAAGTGACTATATAATTTAGCTTTTGATTTCAAATATTAGACAGACATAGGCTGGCGGAGTTGACTGTATCTATATATACATGTCCTTACATTTTAGAACGGTATACAAAGAAGGGGAAATGAGTTCGAAATATAACCTTCAAAAAGAAGGGGTGAATTTGCATTGACATTTTTCCAAAAAATCCAATATTTAGTTTAAATGAAATCCTAAATCTTTGCAACTACAATCCTCACTGACACAATCTACTCATCCGCCCTTTTTAATGTGAATCTATCAGTCAATCAACCACAAAAGCATTGCTGTCATATATACCATCAAACAAAATTTTTAGCACATGCACTATGTTTCACCCTTTTCAAAAACCAACCTGTATGTATGTACATATATGTATATTAGATGTAATGAAACACTATAAAACAAATCGCTGATCTAATCGTAATTGTGAACTGACATTTTATTTTATATTTTATTTGATCTATTTTTATTTATTTAAGATAAATGACCCAGTGTGTCAACAGCTTCTATAGGATATCATGGGATAGACATTGAAAATTATCTATATTACTGATATAGTTTTTAGAGGGACAGTAAATTATTACCCCTTCCTTCATTTAGGTTTCTATATCAAAAAAAAAAAAAAAAAAAAAAAAAATCTGAGGGTCCAGATATAAAAGTTTTTGTATTTTTTATTTACAATTTTCACAAAAAGTAATTTCATGACCTCAAATTTTGCTGAGGAAGGAAGGAAAATGTTCACTTCTTGCAAATCGGTCTTGCAACCTCACATGTTGGCTCGTCTTGCCAAAAGTAGCCAATTATATCTTAATAGTTCGGCTGTGAAATGAATGGAGGGAAGAGAAGGAAATAAATAACGGATAGTGAAGAAGCGAGAATCTGAATAAAGAGTAGAGAAGTTAGTAGGTTTGCATCCACTGTGTATCAACGTGTCGTCCTTAGCCATATTAGTCTTTTAAAATCTTAGTCTGTTAAAATATTAAAAATACCGAATGTAGCCGTTATATTAGGATCTGTACGACGACGTGGACCTGCATAGGCAACTTTTGTCACAAACAATTACAATATTCAAATGCGAAACTTAAAAAAAATCGGTGAATAATGTCGCTAAAATCATCAAAATACCGAATATAGGGAGGTCCTTTATATGGGGGCTGTACGAAGACGTGGACCTGTACAGACAATTTTCTCTTTTAGGCTGTAGTATCCCTTTGGAATTTTAAACAATTCCGGTGAATATTGTCGTTAAAATCATCAAAATACCGAATGTAGGGAGGTACCATTATATGGGGGCTATACCAAAACGTGGAACTGCACAGACAAATTTCTGTAATAGGCTGTAGTATCCATTACGAATTTCAAATGCCAAATTTGAAACAATTCCGGTGAATAATGTCGCTAAAATCATCAAAATACCGAATATAGGGAGGTACCTTTATATGGGGGCTGTACGAAGACGTGGACCTGCACAGACAATTTTCTGTCTTCGGCTGTAGTATCCATTTCGAACTTTAAATACTACATTTTGAAACAATACCGGTGAATATTGTCGTTAAAATCATCAAAATACCAAATATCGGAGGTACCGTTATATGGGGGCTATACCAAAACGTGGACCTACATGACCTATTTCCGATACCTAAAGTCCTGCAGACATGATATACATTTGAGTAGAATTTTATTAACCCACTTCATATCGTTCGGAAGCTACAGTGACTTCCTCAGACGGATAGACAACGGACATCGTTAATCGATCTGGGGTCTAAAATGTATTTACAGACGGAATGACAAACTTAATGTATCGTCCATACTATGATGTAGGGCATAAAAACATAAATTGGCATATTATCTTTAGTCATTTTTATCTTTTGGCTAATTGAAGAAATGCTTCTGGTTCAGTGTCGGAGAATGAAGACATATCGTGCATAATTTGCTCCCCCATAAGCCTATGTCTCACATAGTTGAACATATATTCGACCGTTTAAGTTTCCTCCTCATCTTGACAGAGCCTGTAGTAATCTACGTTGTCGCCACCCCAATTTAGCAGCTTTATTATCAGAAATGTTGCAATGGTCTGGAACTCAACAGAGCATGATATAAATTTAATGACATATGAGCGTATATTGTCATCAAACCATTAAGTTTACTGTTTATGTTCGATAACAAATCTACGGCTTTTTTGATAGCAAAGATTTATGCCTGGAATACGTTTACAAAGATTTCTGCCAGCTACACCGTTTAGAGGTGGGTTATCTTGTGTGCCTGTCTAGCATATGGATGTATAGTGGCTTCTAAATTGCAGAATGTCCAAAGTATGGTCTGCGCCATTGTTTCAGTTCTTTGAGTTTCAGGGCGCATCTGACTGCCTGTTCCTCTGTCACAGCTATAGATACTAAATCCTTGGGTTACGACCTCATACATTTTTCAGAAGACTGCGTATATTCATCTTGGACTTTTCTGCGCCACATAACTATCTATGCTCTCAGCTGCGGTTCTATACAACAATTTTAAAATTTGTGGCATAAATCATGTTGTTGTTGTTGTTGTTGTAGCAGTAGTACATGTGTGTGTTTGTGTTCTGCTAATCTGGTTCCAGCTCCAGGTTTAGAAATTCGGCTACTTTAACGGGCTGTAGCCAGAGATCCTCTGGAGTGAGTTGGGTAGGTTTGGCTGAGCAATTAAAAAGGTGTAGCGTATTGTGCGGGCCTGTATCACACGCCGGGCAGGCGTCACGCACATCTTCATCAATTCGTGCCCAATACGAATTGAGGCGACTACACCATCCTGAACGTAATTGCGCCAAAACTACCCTGGTTTGTCTAGGCAGCTGACGTTCTTCGGCTGCAATGGATGGGGGGTGGACTCCGAGGACGGCATTCACTTTGTAACTGCTAATAGCATCCGCGACTGCATCGGTGTGAATGCCACTCAGACCTGCCTGATAGGCTTCTTGATCTAGAGGCTCTCTCTTGTAGCGCTGGACCTCCCTCTCTAGATCATGTATGTCCTTCCTGACACGCCTGGGTGGGGGAGAGTTATCCACCATGTGATGGTTGGGATGGCTCTCACGGTAACACCCAAGCAGGTACTGCAACGAAAGCATATGATTATGCTGACGTAAGGGAAGGACTTTCGCCTCCTCATGTAGATGGTCCACTGGTGTCATGAGGAGGCACCCTGTCGCAGTTCTCAGGGCAGCGTTCTGGCAGGTCTGGATATTCTTCCACTGCGTAGCACTAGTATTCGCAGACCACACTGGAGCCGCATAGTTGACCACAGACCGACCTATCGCGTTATAAGAGGTCAACAAGGTTTCTTTGTCCGCACCCCAAGAGCTGCCGGCTAGCGCCTTGAGGACCTTGTTCCTACTTTTCATCTTGTCGCAGATAGCTGTGGCTTGCGCGGACGACTTGAACATGCTGTCGAACGTTACCCCAAGAATCTTGGGGTAGTTCGTGGTCGGTATTAAATTCCCCTCGACCTGAACATTCAGCTGTGTTCTCATCTCCGCAGACCATGTGGTAAAGAGTGTGGCCGTTGATTTCGTGGCGGATATTTTCATATTCCTCGCGTGGAAGTATGCGGCAAGCTCCGCGAGATAGGGGTTCAACCTTTCGCATATGTCATCGACCACTGGACCCGACGCCATGATCGTACAATCATCCGCATACGTTACGATCTCAATGCCGTCTGGAGGGCGAGGAATTCCGGAAAGGTAGAGGTTAAACAGTTCCGGAGATATCACCCCACCTTGGGGAACTCCCTGTTTCACTCTACGGGCTTTGGACTTCTTGTTCCGGAATTCCACGTACGACTGGCGTCCACACATATAGTTGATTATCCAACGTTTCAAACTTGGCCGGAGGGTAGTTCTCTGTACGTCCTCAAACAGTGTGGCATGATTGACCGTATCAAATGCCTTTGATAGGTCAAGGGCTACCAACACTGTTCTGTCACACGGCCTGTTCTGGTTTAGTCCTCTACTAATATGTGTGGAAATGGCGTGTAATGCTGTTGTGGTACTATGTTGTGGACGGAATCCATGCTGGTGGTTGGCAACTGCATAGCTTCCTCTAATGCTGGGGAGGAGTAAAGCCTCAAGAGTCTTTGCTACTGGCGACAAAAGCGAAATCGGCCTGTACGATTCGCCTTTACTGGCATCCTTGCCTGGCTTCAGTAGCGGGACCACCCGGCCCATTTTCCAGGTTTCGGGCACTATGTAGGTGGCTAGCGACAAATTGAGAACTTTTGTTAAGTACTCGACTCCCGGCGTATCCAGCTGCTTCAACATTACCATTGAGATTCCGTCCGGGCCCAACGCTTTGGATGACTTAGCGTTACGGATGACATTTGCAACATCACCCATCGTAAACTGTGGTGGTTCCTCCTCGGCGGGAAGAGATCTGATACGACGTAGTACTCTTCGCTTCGCCCTATCACTCTCGGGGTGCTCGACAAATTGTCGGTTAAAATATTCCGCGCACCTCTTCGGATCAGTCACCGTTACGTCGTTAAAAGTGACTGAGGTCCTATCATCCTTTTTTCCAGGGTTCGAGAGCGACTTAACCGTTACCCACAGCTTACTCATATCGGTTCCAATGTTGCAGCACTTCAGATGGTCTAGCCACTTTTTCCTCTTATGCTCCTGCACCAACCGGTTGACTTCCACTGTCAAATCACTGATTCTAGGATCAGTAGGGTTGGTACGACGGAGATCATCACGCTCGTTTGCTAATCCCGCTGCCTCTGCTGGGAAGTTTGGTCTTATCTCGGGTATTCGACCAGCAGGTATATAGCGAGCGGCTGCAGCTCTGATGATGTTTCGGAAAATCCTTTCTGCTACCCGAACATCAGAAGGGTTGGGCAGTTCTCTGAAGCGGCGGTTGGTGAATTCTCTGAACTCTGGCCAGTGAGCTTTCCCATGGTTAAGGAAAGTGCGGCGTTCAGAGGTTATGAAATCGGGCGACCTGCTTATGGAGACGATTATCGGGAGATGGTCTGAGCCAAGAGAAATGACGGGTTGCCAAGTCACGTCATTTATCAGACCGGGTGACACTATGGTTAAATCTGGCGAACTGTGACACTCTCCTCTTATTCGGGTGGGGGCATCCTCGTTAACCGTGCAGAATGTGGAGCAGTCAATCTGCTCTGCCAGCGCTGATCCCCTCTGGTCATTACCTAGGACGGAATGCCACAACTCATGGTGGGCATTAAAATCCCCTAGTACCAGGCGGTTATTGCCTACCAATAATGGGCTAATATCAGGCAAATAACGTGGTTCACAGCTATTAATCGGCGGGATATACACATTAAGCACCTCTACCTCGGCAGTTCCACACTTGACTGCTACCCCCATACATTCCATGTATGGGTCACTAGAGACTAGCTCAAGCGAGATAGGTCTGTACTGAACAGAATGGTGTAACAGGAACGCTAATCCCCCACCTCCACTTCTGGTGCGATCCTTCCTTAGTACGTTGTAACCATAACAACGTTGTAGGCTGCAATTTTCATTCAGCTTGGTTTCCTGCACCGCTGCGATCTTAATATTCCTCCGACTCATAAATTCCACTATCTCATCTATTTTGCCTCGAAGTCCGTTGCAATTGAATTGCAAGAATGATGCACAATCCGGAGTTGGAACAGCAACATGTGGCGTTAGGTGCTGCGGTGTTGGTTGCTGTTCTGGAGACTGCGGTGGAGTGCCATACTCCGACGACGTCTCTGACGAGGACGACGAAGAAGAGGACTCGCTGGGGACTACGTTACTGCAGCAAGTCGCAACATAATCCCTTTCGCTGTAGTCTCGCAAACGCCTTAATCCGGAACAGTTCTTGAAGTGCACCCACTCTCTGCATCCATTACATCGCACCGAGACAGATCTGTGGTGGATGACGTTCTGACAAACCGAGCAGAACCAAGGTCCGGGGTTTTCCTCAATCCCGGCACGGACCAATAAAATCCGGAGCAAGCATTCCGGGATATGCTGCTCCCAATGCAGAAAAATAAACAAACACAAACATGTACATACTGGGTTGGCAGCCGCTGGCCGAAACAGGAAACTTGTTGTTTCGGGTCAATCCGGTATCGTAGAACCCGCTGCCGTGGGATTGGTGGCATAAATCATGAACTCATCCGATGAAATCCTCATAAAAAATAACGAATAAAGAAATGCAAAAGTCAGGCGGGGACGACTTTATGATAACCTACACCACTTTGCATATTTAGCAAAGCTATCCACAACAAATAAATGTTTTTTTTGGAGAATTTATGAGAATTAAATCAAACCAAACAACTATGATCGGGTTTGAATGGTTATAATGGCTTTAAAGCAGACATAATTTAAACCGAAGGCAACTAATATATGGGAGGAGGAGGGATCTCAATAAAATTTAGCAGATGCATTTCTATGCACCAGGCACCAAATACAAAGACATAGAAGTTTAAAGATAGGACAAGACAAAAATAAAATATGGCCACCCTATGAAAATGCCTCTGTTGTTACGATATTATAACTACATAGTTACCAATGTTAACTGATTTAAACCGCTAAGGCAATATGCAAATTTTTGGAAAGGTCTATGGAATAGAATTTTGAAACCAAAATTTCGAATTTTTCAAATTTTTATTTGTTATTCGTTTTTGTAATTGTGGTTTTTATATTAACATGTCTCTGTCATATGCTGTTACTCTATGTATTGTAGACACAAACCATTTGCTCAAAATGTATTTTGTCTAGTCTTTACCATTTTAGGTCTTTGCCAAATAAGCATTTTATGCACAGTAATTTTGAAATCGGATAAAGATATATATGGGAGCTATATTCAAATCTGACTCGATCTCGATAAAATTTACCAATGGTATTGCTGAGCTATATTTAAAATACTTTCCCGAATATCGTTGTTACGGGGTGAATATTACGGCTGTGGAGAACAAACGTAACAAATTGGATGGACAATATATATGGGAGCTATAGCTATATCTGAACCGATTTTCACCAATTTCACACATATGTTTCTAGGCTCAATTTGGTCTTATCGGGTGAAGATATATATGGGAGCTATATCTAAATTTTGACGATTATTCCTAATTTCAATTGGGTTCATCCTTGGGCTAAACAAATGATTTGTGCAACATTTCATCTCGTTCGGACAATAAATCCGACCTGGACTTACTTTACAAAAATTCATAGACAGACGGACGGACATGCGTAATTCGAATTAGAATGTGATACTTTGCAGGTCATCAAAAGGAACTGTGGGTCTACCTCGCTTCCTTCTCTATGTTACAAACAAATGCACAAAGACATAACACCCTGTCCGCAGTGTGGTTTGGGGTATAAATACTCCCTTGAATTTTATGCCGTTTAAGTTTTATTTTTAAATATTTATTGCCAGAAATAGACATCCTAAGAGGCGTAAGAAGTTTAAATTATTTTACTATTAGACCCACATTATCTCATATCAATCAATGAAAACTTATTTTGAGTTCAATTTCTGTTGACCATCATCAGTTCACAATTACAGCAATTAATTACATTTGGCTAGCAGATCAGTGTTTCATTTATTTTTCAAAATTTCCCTAGTTTCTGGTTGAACAATGAAAAAGTTTAATTGATGATTGTTTTGTCCTTTTTCAATTTATCAAACCAAATCAAACCAAACAAAAAAAATATTTATTAAAAAAACCAAACACTCTCACTAACCAAACCAAATAACCGATATGTCATTACCGCAAAAATCAGATGCATTTACCGATTTGGATCCATTAGGTACTGGTCGCATACGACCATATGTTGATAAGAAATATTTTTTCCAAGAGCTTAAAAATCCACCAAAAAAAGTTTTGAAAGATCTCACAGCTAACTCTTCCGTAACATCGTCGTCCACTTCGCCGTCATCGCTGTTGACAGCTGTAACCTCAACGTCAACAGCGGCAGCAGCAGGCGCGCTCAATGCATCCGCAGCAACAGCAGCAGCAGCAGTGGCGACAACTGCCAGTCTAACATCATCAACATGCCCAACTGCTTCATCTGCGTCAGATCTTTATTCCATGGCTGAGACTCAGAAAATATATAACAACAACAGCAACAACACCAACAATCATTTATTGCAATCATCATCCGTTACAGTTAGCAATGAAATATTGAATCTGCAGGATTTCGATATGATTTCGAGACATAACCCCCAACCACATTCTTCAATGATACTAACGTCTTCTAACATTAACTCTTTACTAACAACAGCAGCCGCCGCAGCAGCAGCGACAGCAACATCGGCCACAACGTTGGCATCAGCCTCCTCAGTAACAGCCGCCACATCCCTCATGTCCTCAGGTACATGCTATGCTAATGCTAAAGCTACTGCTACCGTTACTGTTGTCCATAGTTATGCTTCACTAACCTCGACCTCGAACTCGTATTCGTCCTCGACCACCACCACCAGCACCAACAGCAAACTGAGCACTACTGCTAACGTAAATCTGTCTATAAATAGTCTGTCTAATCGTAGTAACACTGCTTTAATCTGCACTTGCCCCACAACAATAACAACAAATAGCTTTACTACTAACCACTTAACTAACAATGACCGCAAGGTTAGCCAAAATACTAATCCTAATTTGCTAAGTCGACAGTCGACAACTGCCGTTGGCAGTGGCAGTAGTGGCAGTCGCAATACCGCTATGGTGACTAGTGGCGGCGGCGGCCCACGCGACGTAGGCGTTGACCAGTTAATTATGTCAACGTCTTTGAAGTCGCAGTCTAGTGGAGCTACTAAGCCATCAACAACAACAACGCCCATTAATGGCTCCTCTATCCATCAGCATACGTCACAAACTAATCATTTACGTTTTTCTCGGTATCCTTCCACTTTAGAGCCCATAGCAGCAGCAGCGGCATCGACGTCGTCTGGAGCAGCAACATCGGCCGATTATGTTATGTTGCCACGCGATACAGACCCCTTTTCACCAACGCGCAAGAAAAGTGATCCCTTCGAAGAGGTGGGTGATATTTTCTCCAAACTGGAACCATTCGAATTTGAATTTAACAGCGGCGGCGGTGTTGAACGTGAGGAGGATAAAGCAAAAAGAAATGCCCTCAACTCTATATCACCCGCCAGAGATAGTGACATTCAGGGGTCACATGATCTCCTATCTGGTCACCTGCAAGTCAGTCTGCCACCCGAGGGTGGCTCGGCTAGTGCAAGTGGTGGTGAAGCTGCACAACCGCCGAGCACGGTGCGTTCACGGCCTGTACCTTCATCGGCTATAATGGGCTCCTCAATGCCACCTTTGGCAGGTTCGGTGCCCGGCTCCCTGTTGAAACAGCAGACAGTTGATGTCATCTCAAGTATTTCCAACAAAAAAATGCCCCATTTGTTTGGGCAATCTTCACGTTTCCCCAAAAGAGACTCTAACTCAATAAATATGCGGCGCTTGCAAGAATCGGATTCTTTAAGTGAAACTGAAACTGCACCAGAACCACCACCACGACCTGATTCGGCACCATATTCAGAGCCGCCTCCCTTGCCGCCCAAGAAGCAATTTAATGAAATAATTATTCGACCAAGATCCGGAGCCTCTGCGGCATTAGGTGGCTCCTCTAGCCGTTACGAGAGTGTAACTTCTGCAATGAAATCACGCACTTCACCAGTGAGTGGGTCTGTGGATGTACCACCAATACCATTGCCTTCGCGTCGAGTCGGACGCTCCGATGGTTCCTATCCAGGGCCGGGACGACCCAGGAAACCTGGACACACAGAAGATGATTATTTGGCGCCATTGCCGGCGACGGCGTCGTCTTCTTTGAACGCAGCTGGAATTTCAAATAGTCCCGATGTGCCACCATTGTTGCCTCCACCTACACAAATTTCGTCCAGATCTAGAACTCATCGTCAGCAATCGTTTAATCAGTCCCACACACGACAGTCGCACGATATCTATGAAAATAAGCAGGAGATTTTGCAACAACAACAGTTGCAAAAGCAGCAGCAGCAACAACAACAGCAACAATCAAAGAACTCAGCTGAACCTGCTTTGGTGCCTGATATCACTCTCAGTCAACTGCTAACTTTGGGAATAGACGAACTCTCGGCTAAATTGAATGTGCCCACAAGTAAACTATCAACCATGACCCTGGTGGAGTTGACATCCTATTTAGCAGAGTTCCTAGAACAATCGAAACCGGAACCTGTGCCTGAAGTTCAAGAAAGGCAGAGCATCTTCAAGGTCAACTTTGATCAGGAGGGTACGTTTGTGGCCAAATTCGATGATACCTTTGGTGAAGATTTCCAAAATGGGCCATCTTCGGCTACTTCAACATCATTCGAGGCAAACTTTGCCCAATTCGATCAAGTTCAAGTGGAGCCACCAGTTGCAGGCGCGCAGTCTGGTTCTAGTGTACCGCCCGCGGATCGCTATGCCGTCTTCCGAGAAATAATAGACCAGGAGCTCCAACAAAAGCAAGAAGAGGCTGATCTCATTGGTGATGTTGTTGAGAATACCGAGATGGGTGTACAAGAGCAGGAGACCCAATTCGAAACAAATTTCTCGCTTACCACAACCGATTTGGATATGCCCTCCGGATCTCAGGACCTTTTGAGTGGTGACATGCCAGAGGTAACCTCCAGTCACCAGCCAACAAAAATTGATACAAAGATATCTGAGGTTCTCGCACAAGCCACCGATCGTTATGCAGCTTTGAGGGATTTGATATTGGTGGAAAATCTTTTCGATAATACCCAGCCTCAGGCTCCAACGACACAAGCACCAAGCCTTTCATTGGAAACCGCCTCGGACACTGGACGTTCTGAATCGAAATCTCCATTCCAAGGATTCTCGGGCTTTAATGATGACGAAGACGATCAGGATTTGAAACAACTAATGGACCACAGTGTTAATCTGGATCCAACAACACAACAACAAAGATTGGGTCTGGTAGATAGCCGTGGTTTCCTTGTTGAGCCTTCCTCTTCTGCCTTAACCGTGGAAGACGAAGAGGAGGAGGAAGATCGTCGTACCAACAAGGACGAAAAAGATGATCAGGGTGGTGTTAGCAGCGCCGATAGTAACGAGAAGGAAGTTGATAAAGACAACTTACCCATTGCCAACTATGAGCAATTGGCCAGTTCAAATCAACAACTCGAACAGATCGAAGAGAAAGTTGAAAAGTTCGAGGAAACTCCGAAAATAAGCATAACACAAAGCCTAACAACAACGGAAAATAATTTCCTTTCGACTGGTAGTGTTGTTTCCTCTTCGGCCATGTCCGGGTCAAAGGATGATTTAGAAATTGATGACCTTATGCAAAGAGCCATTTCCAATCTATCTCTAGATTCCAGGGAACGCAGTTCACCGGCTGTGGGCAGCAACCTGTTGCAGGCTCAACAGCAGCCACAAATGGGAAATAACGGCAGCACAACTAGAAAAGAAACCTCTCCTATACCCATTAACCAAATGAATCAATCCAAATCGCCTAGCAATAAGTCGCCTTCACAGTTGTCGCCCCTGACCAAACCCATGAATGTGTTATCGCAAATTATTGATGTTGCCACCAGACAAATGGAAAGCGAGGCAGCGGTCTCAAAAGCCTCCAATGAATCCTGGGCCACATTTGATACACCACAGCACCAACCGGTGGTGCCACCATCAGACAAACGAGCCAGACCATCCGCCAAGGCACTATCCAAATCGAATAACTTCCTTAATTTACCACCACCACCTGGATCCACATCGAATTGTTCCCAAAACGACAGTGCACTGGAATCTCCATGCTCCTCAGATCCTCGGGACGATGGTTGGCACAAACATGCAATGGGTGGTAGCAGTCTTTCATTGGGCCATCATTCAAATGTTGGTGGGAGTAGCACAGGTCAAAGACGTTATCACAAGAAAGAACGCCAGAATACCTCATCATCGTCCCGAGATCTTAGCTGGGATGAAGATCAAGGTGGCGGTGGCATGATGGGTAGTGGCCATATTATGGATGGTTATGGTCAGACGAAACGTATGGCTGGTCCACCACAAAGTAATCTCACGGCAGAACGTCTCGGCTATTATAGACGTCATGCGAGGCGTATGAATTCCTGCGACGAAGATTATGAGTAAGTGTACCCACCTAATAGATGCCTTCATTTTATGCTTCAATAACCATTACCTTTACAGCTATGAGCAAGAATTTTCCGCCAGCAATCGAAGCCGTGATCCTTGTAAACATAAACGGAATATCTCAAGAAGTAGGGATAATTTCGATATGGGTAAGTAAAGACGTGGGCTTATTTAATTTAAGCAGTCTGATCATGTGGTATGTTTTCAGATTCTCCTGGATGGTATCATCATCATCCCGGCGGACCAACACATCCACCACACCACACTTGGTCTTCACAAGACATAGAACAAGTTAGAGGTCGTTCCTTTGATCGTTCAGCTTATGAACGCACTACATATGGACCGCCGATTTACGATAAGCGAGGTGTGGGTCCACCACTATCCTCAACTTCCAGCTATGATCGTCGATCTGCAGGTGTAAGTGGAGGCCCTGGAATTGGCTATGATAAACGTAGCGGTAAATATTATCGCGGAGAACCCAGCACAAGAACATCAAATGCCGAACGGATTTATAGTTTGGACGACTTCGATGAAATGTTGGCTGCCACGGGAAAAATACCTCCACATCTGGCCGCCATGTATGAAGAGATGAAGGCGGCCTGCTGTTCGCCACAAATGATGGTTGGCGGTCATCGACAACGTAGCTCTGACTATATGTACGAACGTGATCGCAAATCATTTGATCGCGAAAGTCTGGAGTCCTACGATGGCTCCAATGTACCACAGAGACGTCGCCGTCGAAGCTACGACAGTGGTGGCATGCCTTCTGACCCATATGGCAGCTGTGATAGCCGCGATGATTATCATCGTGAACGTCACTACATGACAGCCGAAAAGAGTCGTTCATTAAGAAAGTCATTAAAGTCGTTGAGGGTAACGGGTGACATCGACTATGAACAGGACTCGGAAAAGGAATATCATTATCGGGATCAAAGAACACGTTGTGATACAAGAAGTCTACAAAGACCTAGTCAATTATCTACCCAGGGTGGAAGTGTATTGCCGGGTGGAACGACGGGCCCATTGGGTTCACAATCACGCATACGCAAGAGTAGTGGATCTAGCCCATGGGATGGCGAAGGTAAGAAGTCTAGATATAAGTTGTTTTAAATTCTGCTTATTAATGATATGTGTTGTAGAGCCCCCTATGCCAGGTCAAAAGGTATCTGCATCATCATGGAAGCGTCCATCCAGTGCTGCAGATTCCGAGAGACGCTTGGCCGAAAGCAGAAGAGCTGCAGTCAAGGGACAAACTCCATCGGGTTCAGAAGATGATAAAGATCGAAGGTAATCAGATTGATTCTATTTCTTCAGTACAAAAATGTAATTCGCTTCATTTTTTCCAGATATCGCAAGAAACGGGGATCTCGGGCCAAAGATCTGACCACACTGTCCGGTGGTAGATATCGTGACGGTCCCGCCATGCGTTCCAGTAATTACGATTATATTGGTGATTTGGATGATGATGCCGAAGACTATGTCGATGAAGAAGAAGAGGAGGAGGAAGAAGATCGTGCTATTGGCGATGATGAAATCTCACCCGCAGATGAAGACAAATTTGCCCGTCTCGAAATGAGGCGACATGAAATGCATAATCGGATGATGGACACGCATGTGCGCCGACGAAAGGATTTACCTCCACCAACAACACAAATGTCATCAATGGCCTACCGTAAAAATGCCCCCGGGCCATATGTCCACAGAAAACCACTACCTCCAACAGATGGCAAACATGCGGCTCATCCCCAAGATTATGGTTACGATGATGATGGTGAGTATGAACAGACACCAACTCCCAGATCGAATACCAGTAGCGCCCTGCCAACAGCAACACCCAACACATCAACCAAATTCAGTTTTGATGTTGGCTTCGAATCCGACTTTAATCAAACTTCGCCACCACCTGCTCCAGCAGGCACGGCGTCCAGTTGTAACTCTACGCCAGCGGCAAATGTAAGCGCGGCCAATACGCCAGCCTCGAAATCATCATTTCGATTTTCAAACGATTTCTCAGCTGGTCTAGAACGTGAGAAACATTATCAGCAACACTCAGCTGCGGGAAGTTTACAACAATATGACTTGGAGAATCGTGGTATATCGCCACAAGCCCCTACCGCCCCCACAACACAGGCAAGCACACCAAAACTGCGTTTTGATGACAATGTTAAGGTATCACAATTCGATGATGCCTTTGAAGATGACTTTTCGAAGACCAGCTTTGATGCCTTTGAAAATGACGATCAATGGCAGGAATCCCTGACAAGATCGGCTAAACAACAAATTCGCAACAACAAATTACAGCAACGTCAACAAGATCTAATTAAGAAATCTGAATCGATAAATATATTCGCCAAGAAGGTGGAGGATCCCTTTGAAGATGATGACTTCTTTAATAGTCCACCAATACCTCCTACTGCCGGAGGCAATAATGAAGACAAGCAGGATAAACATAAGGGAAATGGAAGTGGATTCCAAACACAATCTCAACAGCAGCAGCAGCAACCTAGTAACTGGGATGATAACAATACAAATTTTGCCAAATTCGATGAAAATATGTGATTTGCTGGATATTTCAAAAATTCCTATGGCAATTCGTCATTGTCCTACCCACAGCAGAGCAACAACAATATGCTACATAATAGTTATGGCGATATTCGTAATGATGTCTTAGCTGGTGATGATGATGATGACGATGAAGATGGTGGTGGTCACTATGCTGAAATAGATGTAGTTACCTCAAACGATTATTACTACATAACGAACCTCAATCAATACTATGACGAACAACATAGTGCAAAGGCCACATACAAGTTGCCCCAGCATCACACTCCCATTTACAAGCCCGCCCATCAGCAGCATCAACATCGTCGCTCGTGCGATTCTTCTTCTTCTTCGTCATGGTCCAACTACACGTACAACAATCATAATAAATATCAAGCGAATCGTTCGACATCAGCATCGGTATTTACCCAGTGCCATACACAACCGAAAGCGGATAAAGGACGTTACTGTAAACAGAAATCGTCACAGAATAGTTGCATTCATGATGATGATGATGATAATGATGCTACGGCTGGAGCAGGTATAAAAAATACCAATAATATTCTACGTAATACTCAAAAACGATGTCGACGTAAATTATTTGCTTTTAATTTTATGCTAAAGAATTTTATAACGTATCGTTTTAAATATGACATTCTATAGATCGGACTGAAGAGCTGGTGTGGATGGTTTATTGTCTATTGATTTCAGTATTTTTTGCATTTATATATGTTGTGGTGAAGCGCTATAACGAAATTATGTTAAAGAACGGTATGAAAAGAATAATACTACTCAATACTCATAAACGAGAATTTTGTAATAGATGGTTTAAAATATGACATTCTATAGATCGGACCGATAATGCGGTTTTTTGTCGTTGAATTTATTTTATGCATTTAATTCTGTTTAAAACGCGTCACACCTGTGTGCGATATTTGTCTATTTCTTGTTAATTATTCGCAATTCTCTACCAAATTGTAAACTTGCATTTGATCTTATTATTTTATAGAGACAAAGTGTAAGACCATTATAAGCATTTAACCCGATGGGTGTGCCGAAAAAAAATTGAATAATTTGCTACAAACAGTATATACTGGATTGAGAAACAGCTCAATATGATAATTGCAGAAAATGCCTTACAGAACTTTCTTTCATTTTACATTGACCCGAAGATCGTGTTTGTCGGAACTATATGTTATGTGAGCCCTTACTTTTTCCGCCCCACGATGCTCATTTTTCCAACTCGTGGTCAATACTAAGGTATTTAGCTTGATAGGCAACTTTTGTCATAGCTCTATCCTGCAAAGGAAAAGGAAAATTTTGTGAAATATATAAATGAGCCTTACCCATAAGGAATGTTAAACCATATTGTGGTGGTATATCCAACAATTACCCGAAACTTATTGCTAGCGACCCACATAAATCCTCTGTTGTGGAAAGTAAATAAAAACAAAAACCTGGAATGATAAGTAGGCAATTATATGCGAAAAAGTGACCAAACCACTTGATCGCCTATAAAAAATTTTGCGCATGCTTACATCATTGTCAGAAGGAGGAGTAAAGATGATGAGGATTTCACGTCTGATTTTGACCGGTTAATTTTTAGGAACATCCAGAGGTGTGGTGTGAACAGTTCTCCCCCTTCGTATCACTGTGAATAAAGTACTTACCTCCCAGTAACCGTTCAATAGAACAGTCTGGAGGCCATTTATCTGGACGTGCTCAAGGTGTTTGAAATGTTATAATGTGTAGGATTTGCTGTTATTGTAACAGCAATACATGATTGTTTAAGATCTGCTAATCTGGTTCTTTATCTAACTCCAAATTTCAAAATTTGGCTACCTAGAATAAAGATTTTCGGGCGTATGTTGGGTGGGTTTGGTAGGCCAATTGCAGAGATGAAGCTTTGTGTGCTGGCCTATATCACACCCTAGATAGACGTTCCACACGTTCTTATTAATTCGCGTCCAATACAAATTCGGACGGCTGAATTGTGTCACATTTTAACGGCATTGTTTTACATTTGGTTTTTGAAGTTCGTAACGGATAACACCTCCTACGACGGAGAGTTGGGGTACGTCTTCGATAATTTTAGCCACATTTTTTAACGAAATGGTAAACCAATTTGAAACTGATCTATATACCGATTTGAAACTGATCTATATACAGTCTATTGCAACATTGGTGAGTTTCCAATTCTAGCTGGAGTATTCTGAATAAACCCCTTATTAGTCCGTTTCTTAAGACCAATCTGAAGGAACATTCCAAAATGGGTTATTTTAAATTCCACTGACTTGGAAAAATTTGACGAATCTTTTGCTAGATAAACAGACATTGTGACGACGAACCAAACTGAACGAATTGTTTGTAGCTAAAACGATATCTCTATATATTTATGAACATTATGAATCTCATATAAATTTCTAATGCAATAACAATAAACAAATTGAGAATAAATGTAAATATATTTAATTTAAGCATCTTAACAAAACATCACATGTACATATTCTATATTAAGGGAATGACTATGAGAAACGTGAAAAAAATAAAAAAGATAATTGGATGAAGGACAAATTTGAAGAGCACTGTTAGAGCGAGAAAATTATTATTTACGCTATTATAAACATTATTGTATATTAAAAGAAAAAAAATCTAGAATCATGTTGGGTTACACAAAGTTCTACATTTAATTTAGTTTTTTTTCTCCTTGCCGATTTCCTATAAATGAAAAACTATCGAACAAAACAAAACAAAGATACGATAAGAAAACTTCTAGATCTAAGCAAAATATTTCAAAAAATCTATCCTAAACTAGTGAAAAATATATTTTAGAAAAAAAAACCACGCATACACCCCAAAACAATTTCTATATTCTGTCCGTTTCAAGGTTTTCTTATTATATAAATAGTCCTAGAATAAAGTTATTTATAAAAAATAAAATAATATTATTTAAAGAAAAAAAAAAACCCCAACCCACTAGACCACAATCAAAGATACTCAATGATACTAATAATTTATGCCCATACCAAAATTATGAACCACATCACAAACACACGTATGCATATACTTTCAAGAAATTGAAATTAAAAAAAAATACTATTAAATTTTCATAAGATTTACCATATGGCGTACATGTGTATGTGTTTAAAACAAAAAAAGTAACCTTCTATTTGAAATAATAACAGTTATGCCAATATATAGTGTCATTTATAGTACTCTGAAGCGTAATGGAAACCACAAATAGCCACAATAACAATTAATTAATTAATTAAAACGAGATTAAAGTACAGAACAAATTTCCAACAACAATAACAATAATCATAGAATTGAAGAACAAAGTGGAACGAATGAACCTACAATATAAAAGCAGAATTACAAAAATACATCCATTTAACAATATTAATAAAATTTATTATTATAAATAATACCTAAAATTAATAATAAATAAAAAATAATAATAATTACCATGATATTATATACACATGCGACGATACATGATAGTTAAAACATATGTAATTCATTAATTTAATTTTGTTTTATTTGTCGAGATTGAATAATTCAAAATAAAATTTAAATGTAAACCAAAGAATGTTTTATTTGTTGGTTTGGCGTATGTCCGGTATTCATAAAGCGACACGACTTCCCATAATTCGCCGAGTTCACATGGATTATTATCCGCATTATTTTGCGGATTATCGTACGGGACGGATCTGTTGTGGTAGCAGCAACGTATGTATGGTGTTTTAAACTTTGTAAAACTTTGCTTGCCTTCGCGCGCTGCAACCAAAGATCTTCTGGAGTGAGTGGGGTTGTTTTTTCAGGACAAGTAAAGAGGATCAGCGTATTGTGCGGTCCTGTACAACATGTCAGGCAGATATTTTTCCCATTTTCGTTAATTCGTGCATAGTACAAACTGAGACGACTGTTCCGTCCTAAACGTAATTGCGCCAAACCTACCCTGGTTGGTCTAGGCTGTCGAGGTTCTTCACCTATAATAGATGTGGGCTGGACCGTTAGACCTCCCCTCTGTATGTCCTTCCTAATAAGCCAGGGTGGAGGAGTTCCATCCAACATATAATAATTTGGATGTCTCACACAGTAACACCCAAACAGTTACAGGAAAGAATCTTCGTCTCCTCATGTAAATGGTCCACTGGAGTCGTGGATAGGCACCCTGTTGCACTTATCAGTCGCGTTGTGGTCTGAATACTTTTCCATGTCAGGACGACCACATTGAAGCCACATAAAGCGATAGGCCGCTTTAAAAGAGATCAACAAGGTTTCCTTATCCGCGCCCAAGTTTTATCGGCTAGCGCCTTGAGGAACTTGTTCCTATGTATCAATTTATAGCTGTGGTTTCCGCAGACGACTTAAACCTGCTGGCGAATGTAACCCCAAGGATTTTGGTTTAGTTAGTGTTCGGAGTTATGTGCCCCTCGACCTGCACATTCAGCTGTGTTTTCATCTCCAAAGTCCATGTGGTAAATAGTGTAGCCATTGACTTGGTGGCGGATATTTTCATATTCCTCGCATGGAACAATGCGATGACGCATATATCATCAACGACAGGGCCAAACGCCATGATCGTACTGTCATCCGCTTAGGTTACGATCTCAATGTCTTCTAGAGGACGTGGAATTCCTGAATGGTAGAGCCTATGCAGTTCCGCATGTATCACCCAATCTTGGCGAACTCCCTGCTTCACTCTGCGGGGTTTGAATTTCTTGTTCCGGAATTCTACAAACGACTGGCGTCCTCACATATACTTGACTATCCATCGTTTCAAATTCGGCCGGAGGGTAGTGTTTTCAACGTCCCCGAATAGCGTGGTATGATTGACAGTATCAAAGGCCTTTGATAAGCCGATAGCCCCTACTAATTTCCTATGGCAGGTCCTGTTCTGGGTGAGTTCTCGTGTCTAATATGTGTGGATATGGCGTGCAAAGCTGTTGTAGACGGAAACCGTTTTGATGGTTGACAGCTGAATAACTTCCTCTGATGCTGGGGAGGAGTAAAGCCTGAAGAGTCTTTGCTACTGGCTACAAAAGCGATATTGGACTATACGATTCGTCTTTGCTGACATTCTTACCTGTTTTCAAGTAGCTTGACCGCCCTGCCCATTCTCCATGCTTCGAAAACTATGTAGCCCTCCACGTGGAGAAATGGCGTTCGTTGTTTTAGGAAGTTAGATTCTGGTTCCCTGGATTGGGACTGCCATTTTTTACATGGAACGATTGAATTTTTTACCGATTGGGAATTCTGATTTTTCATGTGTGGGCTTTTCTAACTTTGTAGGCGTTGGTCTGAATACGGCTTTGCAGTTGTCCTTTGCCTAACAATTTTCCGTCATTGTCATTTATTTACATTGATTAATGTTACTTTACTCAAATCGATGATATCTCCTACTGTCCATCCTGGCTGAGTACTAAAAATCAAGATCTTCTGTTGAATATGAATTAATAGATCACTGAAATATAACATTTCAATCACACTTGAACCTCCTGTTTTTAACATTCCTTAAGCATTACGATGGACAAGTGATTCGGTGGATTCAAATATGGGCACAATAAAAAATATCATTGAAAATCTCCTGGTTTATTGATCGGCGCTATTCTCCATATATCTCGATTTTAATTGGTTGCATTTTTTGACAGAGTTCTTCTTTAACAGTCCACACTTTCAAAAGACCAAAAGTTCCAGAGCATATCACAGGAAAAATTCCCCCTAAACTTAAAAAAATAATTTCCTTTCTCTAAAAAATAAAATACCATAATTTCAATCAATTTTCACCTACTTTTCTTTATTAAATTTGTTCTAATTTTTTATTTATAAAATAGTAAAAGCAAAGCATTTGTTTAAATAAAATCATTTAAGATACCAAGCCAGGAAAATACTTTTTCTATATATATACTATTCTATATATTGGGGGGAGGGGACGTATTTGTATAATAAATATATATTTGTATATATGATATTAGTTTGTTGTCATCATTACAATTAGAAGCTATTAAAATTCATTCGTTATTGTCATCGTTTACTATGAAGCGTTTTGTTGTGATTATGTTCTCTTAATTCCTTGGAATTATTTAAAAACATTAGTTCGTTTGTAAATATTTCACTCATTGGTTTGTTGTTTTTTTTTCTACACATGCCGTGTGTGTGCCGCTGAAGAAAAGATGCCTTGAATTGTTCTGCCTAAGGAAACCGGCTAATTGTGGTTATATTGTACATATGCCTTATTTTATTAGTATGGAAGACCCGTTGATGGATTTAGAAGACTGTCGGTTTTCGTTAGACGTTGTGGTCCCAAACCCACTTTGGTGTGTATTATATATTTAAGGAGATTACGTTCATTTGTTGGCAATGTAAAGTTACCATTGAGTATGGCATCTGCTGTGGTTGGTGTTGACGATGGGCTAGCGGTTCCATCAATTGGTATCCCCTTGACATATTCAACACTGCCAGCAGCATCGTTGGGAAATGAAGTGTGTATGGCTTGCAGCACCGATGGAACATGCTCCTTGAGCACATAAAGACAGGCATTTGGTCCCGCATCGAATGTATAGGCAACACGTGTAAGACCCACAGCTGCATTGTAGGCATGTACAAATGAAACAATGGCATGTGATACATCGTTCATGTACACACATGGTGGAAATGTATCCAAGGCAATGGCATGGAATTGATTCGAATCTTGCATGGTAATGTTTGCAAATGTTTCAAAATCTCGCTGCTTTATAGCCTCGGTTATGGCTTGAATACGCTGGGGAACACATTGTTTAGCACGATATTTAATTAGATCGGAGGTTTCTACAGCCCGCTGCATGCCTTTGGTCGAACTGGTCTTTTTCCGACTATCATTAACCACAAGTATCAAAACATGCATATTTGGCCAGTGTGCTGAGGTCACAACCGGCAGAGCTATTGAATCTGAGCCATCGGATGCTTCACCTTTGTGCCAGCGAACAAAACCCCCATGAAGGCTGCGACACGCAGAGCCGCTACCTTGTCGGGCAATTGCTGTTAATTCTTCATCCTGTATGCCATAGAGTGTGGCCAAGGTATAAACAAGGCAGGCATAACCAGCGGCGCTCGATGCTAAACCGGCAGCTGTGGGGAAATTATTACGCGAAACGATATGTAGCTTCCATTCCAGGGGAAATTTCAGTGATTCTCCTTTTGCCAGGGCCAATCGTTGTACTGAAAGTAAAACGGAACGAAATAAAAAGTTAGTGGGCAAAAAATAACCACAGTTTTTGCAAAACGTAACATTTCACAGTTATTTAAAATGAAAATCTTTTGAACTTTTCAGACATAGTCTGCATATCCGAAAACAGTTCATCCTAAGAGGAATTAGCAATGATAGAAAATATATAAATTGGAAAGAAGGAAGAGTTAATTAGTTCACGTATTTCAAGAAGTTTGACAGTCTCTTCCATCGGCAGATCAATCGACTGGCAACCACCTTGAGCCATTTCATTTCCCACTATATTATTATTCACCGGGACCCAACAAAGATTAATGAATTCATGTATCTTTTGGCTTTCTTGAAGTCAAAAATTGCTTTAATTTCTTCTTGTCTTGATGAAAATATTGAAATGTCCCAAGTTTGAATGGAATTGGATGTTAATTTCGCGTTTTATGAACTCCATGGATATTCAAAATTTTGACCTCTTGTGGAGGAGATACTAGAAGGAGTGGACCGATATGTCACATTTTCACAGCAGATTTTGTGTCAGTAGAAAAAATAGAATGTGCGAAATATGAATATGATTTTATAATCGTTTTGATTATTCAAAACTTTGACCCTTTGTGGGGGAGGTACCAGAAGAAATGGTCTGATCTCTACCGTCTTTACAACAGATCTTGTGTTGAATATTGAGTTGTAGAAAGTCTGAATGGAATCAGATGTTAATTTCGCGTTTTATGTGTTTCTTGATATACTCATAATTTTGAACCTTTGTGGGGGAGGTACCAGAAGGAGTGGACCGATATATTCCATGTTAACACCAGATAAAAATATTGTGATGTGTGTTGTTTGGAGACAATCGGGCTCTTACATCACATGCTATAAGAGTTATAATTATTTAATTTTTGACCTTTGTGGGGGAGGTACTTGATGATGGTCTAGGGTCTAAACCCGTTAATTTGAGTAGGCACGTTTTGACCGTATGAAATAATATATAACCTCTTTACCTATATGGTTGAGGGTATAAAAACGCTGCTATTTTCATTAGGCTTATATGAGCGTTTAATAAAAAGATTTTGACAGAACACAATGTGGGCATGTGACTACTAATCACCTTCACCTAAAATATTACGACTTGTAGGTATGTCCAGGATCCGTGCATGAGGGATGCGGCCGAAGCCCCCAGCTCCACGAAAGTTGCACAGTTTAACTATTTTCCATTTTCCAGTAAATAGTACTATTTCAGTTTTTGTAGTGTTCACTCCCAAAACATTGCCCTGGCCCAATCAGACAAGCTATGGATCGACTCAAACTTCACATTGCTGAAAGCTCCCTCTATATCGGGAAAAGCTTTCAATGTGAAGTTAGGGTTTTCCATATACTTTTTAATGTAATGCATGTTCCTTAGACATGTATAAACAAATTAATTAAATATATCAGAATGACTTTCAAAACATAACTCAATAATAAATGGGAAGAAAATGTAACTATACTTTGGCCACTGCTATTAAAATCACATACCAATTATACAATTATTTATAGACTGCACAAAGCAATTTAAATGACTTGAAAAGTAAATGTAGTTACGATTTTAACGAGTTTTTTTATCTATCTTTCAGTAAGTTTTAATCAATAAATTTTATGTTAATTACGTTAATTGTTTTATTTTACTAACAAGTTGAATTTAATTTTCTAAGAATGGTTTGAAAACGCAGATAGTTTCATGCTTGAGAAATTAAAATAGATGGTAATTTTAGGATATTTTCTCTCAGTTTTACATAGATAAATCAAAAGGGCATAGTTGTTAGAAATTAGAAAAATATCCTGAAATTATTGATCTATTTAGAAACGAATTTTGAAGCGAAATATCGAGTAATATCTCACCCTGGCCATTATAATCAATTATGTAAATTGCCAATTAATCTATGTTTTTAGATGTGATGGAAACCAATTCGAATTTTAGAATCGAAATTGTTTTTTATTATCCTTGAGTATTTCAAGTTCCAAATTATTTTGTAAGAGGAACTGAACTGTATTCAAATCCTATGTTTTCCTTTTCTTTGCCGAAACAGTTTTTTGTGTCAGCATTGTTTAAGTATCGTTCAATCCATGACATTTTCTTTTCAAAGCAAAATCCCTTTGATTTTGTGCGTTTGAATTCCGATTTAAATCTCAATACTCACAAGCTTTTAAGCATCTCATTGCACGCGGATTATCTTCAAAGGGCACTTCCTCGCCATTGAGCCACATACGGTGTTCCTTGTAGGTTGAACACGCTGATGCTGTTGTCTTTGCACACATCTACAAAACAAAGTGAGAATGAAATCGTTTGTCAAGTAGGTATTTTGTTTGGAAATAAAAAAACCATGTCAAAGGTTGTTGGTACGAATGGCTTTCTGTTATGCCCAACAATACGTCTACCTATCTCACTGAATATATTGTCGTGTTAAGCAAACAATGGTGCATTCAATGGTGTGTATCTACTCTACATACCAATCGACAACCATAAGTATGTCATACAAAAGCTCCACTTACCTCATCCGTACTTAGAGTCATACTCAATGAATCGTTTATGGGTAATATCAGCTCCTCATCTCGCTTACCCCCTTTGGATAATTGCAGAGGATAATAACATGAAAAAATATATATAATTTAATTAATAGTACTAAAGTTTAATACATCAAAGGGTAAATATGGCCAATGGAAAGTGAAAGCCACTTCCATTGTATGGGTGCAATGTATTCCTTTTTGTAATACTTACAATATTTTATTAAAGCTATATTGACGGGTGCTATGCACGTTTCTATGAACATTTTCTTTTCGTCCACTGCTGGTCTAAATGATTGTTGGAAGAATAATAAAAAATTGTCGATAAATCGACAGTAGTATTTGGTCCAAACAGGAAACACAACTTTACGGTAAGAAATTTTCTAACAAACTGAAAAACTTTCACTTTTCTTTGATTACATACTTCGAAGCTGCTAATTCCGTTTAAACGCCGTAGAATTGAAAAGAAAGCGCAAATAGCCGATAAACAAGAGGAATCAAAACAAAAGCTATGAAAGAGGGAGAAAACTAGGTCTTTCCAGATCGAAAACTGGTGGAATTAACATAGACATAGAGAGACATAGTTTTATTTCCTTCTCCTTTTCAGACGAAGATTTGGACGATATATTTTCTTCTCCTTTTAAAGATCAGGGCTATGGAAATTGATTATCTACATAACTCAGAGCCCAAAACAGTAAAAAACCAATAAGGAAAGCTCAAAAGTCGGGCGGGGCCGACTATATGATACCCTACACCACTACGCATATTTAGTAGAGCTCTCGTAAAAAGGTTTATACAGGGCATTTCAGAGCTCTATGAGATATTTGGTACAAAATCAAAATCTATCGTGCATTTTACGAACTATAGCTATCTTTGAACCGGGTTTCTCCAAACTTGACGTATTAGCTTCTAGACTGAATTCGGTCTTATGTACGAAAATTCAGGTGATTTGGGCTGATATTGGCCATTTGTTGCACAATTAACACGAAATCGGATGAAGATACATATGGGTGCTATATCCAAATCTGAACAGATTTTGATAAAATTAAAATCGACTATTTTTGGGCTTTATCTGATATCTGGTACCAAATATCATTCCTGGGAAAAGTATATTACGAATGTAAGGGACTTAAAGAGCAAATCGGATGAAACATATATATGGGAGCTAGAGCTATATCTGAACCGATTTTTACTAAAATTTGTGTACTTGCTTATAGGCTGGATTCGGTCGGATTTGCCAAAATTCATGCCATTTGGGCTGATATTGGCCATTCGATGCACAATTAACACGAAATCGGATGAAGATATATATGGGAGGCATATCCAAATCGGAACAGATTTTAATAAAATTAAAATCAACTATTTTTGGGCTTTATCTGATATCTGGTACCAAATATCATTCCTGTGGAGTGCATATTACGAATGTGAGGGACTTAAAGACCAAATCGGATGAAAGATATATATGGGAGCTATAGCAATATCTGAACCGATTTTTACTAAAATTGGTGTACTTGCTTCTAAGCTGGTTTCGGTCGGATTTGCCAAAATTGATGCTATTACGGCCATTTGGTGGTCAATCACCCGAAATCGGATGAAGATATATATGGGAGCTATATCCAAATCTGAACCGATTTCGATAAAATTTAAAACAGCTATTCCTGTGCTCCATCTAATACTTGGTACCAAATATCACGGTTGTGGAGTGCATAGTAGGAATGTGAGGGACTTAAAGATCAAATCGGATGAAAGATATATATGGGAGCTATATCTATATCTGAACCGATTTTCTCCAAATTTGATATACTTGCTTCTAGGCCGAACTCGGTTGGGTGTGCCAAAATTCAGGTAATTTGGACTGATAGTGGACATTTGGTGCACATTTAACCCGAAATCGGATGAAGATATATATGGGAGCTATATCCAAATCTGAACCGATTTCGATAAAATTTAAAACAGCTATTCCTGTGCTCCATCTAATACTTGGTACCAAATATCACGGTTGTGGAGTGAATATTACGAATGTAAGGGACTAAAACACTAAATCGGGTGAAACATATATATGGTTGCTATATCTATATCTGAACCGATTTTCACTAAATTTGATATACTTGCTTCTAGGCTGAATTTGGTCTGATGTACTAAAATTCAGTCCATTTGGACTTATATCGGCCATTTGGTTCACAATTAACCCGAAATCGGATGAAGATATATATGGGAGCTATATCCAAATCTGAACCGATTTCGATAAAATTACAAACAGCTATTTCTGGGCTGTATCTTATATCTGGTACAAAATATCATTCTTGTGGAGTGCATATTACGAATGTGAGAGGCTTAAACACCAAATCGGATAAAACATATATATGGGAGCTATAGCTGTTTCTGAACCGATTTTCTCCAAATTTGTTGTATTTGCTTTAAGGCTAATCTCGGTCACATGTGCCAAAATTCGGGCCATTTGGGCTGATATTGGCCATTTGGTGGTCAATTAACCCGAAATCGGATGAAGATATATATGGGAGCTATATCCAAATCTGAACCGATTTCGATAAAATTTAAAACAGCTATTTCTGTGCTCCATCTAATACCTGGTACCAAATATCACGGTTGTGGAGTGCATAGTAGGAATGTGAGGGACTTAAAGATCAAATCGGATGAAAGATATATATGGGAGCTATAGCTATATCTGAACCGATTTTCTCCAAATTTGATATACTTGCTTCTAGGCCGAACTCGGTTGGGTGTGCCAAAATTCAGGTAATTTGGACTGATAGTGGACATTTGGTGTACATTTAACCCGAAATCGGATGAAGATATATATGGGAGCTATATCTAAATTTGATCCGATTCTCACCAATTTCAATAGGGTTCGTCCTTGGGCCAAAAAAATATTGTTTGGAAAATTTCATCCCAATCGGATAATAAATGCGTCCTGCATTTTGTTCACAAGAATACATGGACAGATGGACGGACGGACAGACGGACTGACATGCATAAATCGACTCAGAAAGTGATTCTATGAAGGTTCTCAAAAGTAACTATGGGTCTATCTCGTTTCCTTCTCCATGTTACAAACAAATGCACAAAGACATAATACCCTTACCACTATGTGGTGTAGGGTATAAATACTGAAAATTAATACATATTTTAAAAGTGCTTTGTACATCTAGTTTAGTAAAAACTCTTCAATTTTTTTTGAAAAATTTTCAGTGGTGGGTATTTTTAACTGGTTTTTGGGGGACGGACCCGGGTATCCAAATTTTTGAACCTCTATAACAGTATAGGTATAGCTTAAAAATATCTATCCAACAAGTGGTCACATGATGGGGCTATTTAAAGAGGTTCGGGAGTTAAAGTAATGTTATCCATTTTTTTGGAAAAATTTTCAGTGGTAGGTATTTTTACCCTGGTTTCGGGAAACTATTTTTTTTTTTGGGACGGACCCGGGTATCCAAATTTTTGACCCGCTATAACAGTATAGGTATAGCTTAAAAATACCTATCCAACAAGTGGTTAGTTATAGTAAAGTTATCGATTTTTTGGACCCGGATTTTTTTATTAAACTTGAAGCGTTTTTAGTAAACTAGAGAAACAGTTCCAGAGAAAGAGAAACAGTTGTTCCAAGGACTAATGCGAAATTTTCTTTGTATTACTTTGACTAGAAAATAGAAAAACTTGCCAGCCTATGACTTAAGCCAGCCAAATATGCACTTTGTGTATTCCCACCCTTACAGTACTTACGTGACTTGTGTTTTAATTTATGTTCTTCTTTGGAATTTATCAAAAATAAGAGAAAGTTTCTTGTAAGTTGTACGCCGATATTTACGGAAGAACTACAAAACATAATTTTCACAATGAAGGAAGAATACAGGTAGTCGCATCGACGCAGCTGCTGATACAATAAACTGTCAAACCAATTTTGAAATTGAACATTTTGAATGAAAAATTATTCAAATTTGTAAAAATTGTTGAAAAATGCATATCATAAGAACCTCCGATTGTAAAATATTTTTATTTAAAAAAAAAAAAACATTTTTTACATATCAATGTTCTCAAGCGTTGACGCATCTACCTGTATTCTTCTACCATTTAATGTCTTTTCCATCAAATTAAAAAAAAAAAACAAAATTGTAATCGTGCATGATATTATCTTGGCAATTGTATCATGCGTTTTGGGTTGAAGAATAAACTTAAGGTGAGAACACATAAAGTGCTTTTTTGACTGGCCTAAGTCATCTACTGGCTTCTTCAGACAAAAAAAAAAAGAGTAAAAAATTATCGGTTGGGTTTGCCGACAGATGTATACCCTCAGTCAGTGTCCGATTACTTTAAAATATTTTGACTTCTGTTATGAATTTTCAATCTCTTGACCCTCTATGGAGTGGATTTTGAAAGAATGGGTCAATATTATCCATTTCGTATCGGACTATAATAAATATGATATAAATATATAAGAAAGTCGAACATTTATATCCAATTTATGGGAAATCATAAATTCCATATTCATCTCGGAATTCTGGTGGAGAGAAATATATTTAGATATAGCTAGTTGTAAAGAATCGTTGGGTTGTTACGCAATTTATGACACCAGACCTAGCACTGACGTAAATATTAGGATTTGCAAAGTTAGAGCGAAATCGGATTATCGTATCTCTTTCGGTGCATAAAATATATATTTTTGAAAATTTCGACCATTTTTTGGGGGAGGTACCAGAAAGAGTGGACTGATATACTCTATCTTAACGCCAGACCTTGGGTTATTATAAATATTGGGATGTGTGAAATTTGAAGAAAATCGGACTCTTATATCACATTTTATAAGAGTTGTAATTATTCAAAATTTTGACCTTCGTGGGGGAGGTACCAGAAAGAGTTGACCGATATTGTTAATTTTCGCACCAGACCTAACACTGACGCAAATATTAGGATTTGCAAGGTTGGAGCAAAATCGGATTAACGTTTCTCCTTCTGTTCAAAAAATATATATTTTTGAAAATTTCGACCATTTGTGGAGGAGGTACCAGAAAGAGTGGACTGATATACTCTATCTTAATGCCAGACCTTGGGTTATTATAAATATTGAGATGTGTGAAATTTGAAGACAATCGGACCCTTACATCACATTTTGTAAGAGTTTTAATTATTCAAAATTTTGACCATTTGTGGTCTGGCTGGTCTCGCTTTATTGACAGGCTTAAGCCATCGGCTGGCTTCTTCGGAAAAGAACAAAGGAGCGTAGGGCCAAAATCGAACTAAGTTAACCTAAAGCTCCTTTGTTCCTCTACGAAGAAGCCAGCCGATGACTTAAGCCAGTTTTATGTATTCTCACCTTTAGAATTCTAAATTTTAAATGATATGAAATTTTAATTTAAATGAATTATTTAAAATGGTATAAAAATTAAGTTTTCATTATTAAATAAGTCGATCCAAGATCTTAAAAAATTGGACAATTTATGATAAACATATTTTAATCCTAAATTTATGACTTCAAGATATTTGCGTATAAACGTGCCATTAGGTATTTAGGAAGTGTTCGGAATGTTATAATATTGCCAGTAGAACTTGGTGGGGTTTCCGTCCGTGCTACAGTGTCGACTGTGTTGACTGAGAAGAGTCGTATACAGTGTATTTCATTTGCGGTAGATGGCGCAAACTAAAATATATACCTCTAACCCATTGTAAAGCAAAACATTTATATATTGAACAAAAAATTTAAATGTATAGAACTGAGTTGGTGTTTGTTATTTGAGAAACCATATTAATTCCAACTTTTTTAAATATCTAGGTTTAATGTGAGTGCTATTGTTCTGTTATAAAAACCAATGTTTACTGTACTGCTACATTTTGATTTGGAACGGATTTTTTTTCTGCAGATATCTCAAGAAAATATAGTTAGAAATTAAATTTGATTTTTTTAAACTGCAATTCAGATTTATTTACATTTATATTTTTATATGTATTTAATGGTGCGGTGATGAACCTAAGCCATCTTTCGTCCCGCACCTAGTTTCTATTGATTCAATCTTTGCGATAAAGAAACACTTCTATTGTACCCTTTAATTGCTCCCGAATAAGAATTTGCAATTTGAAAAGATATTCGCCCTCTGGTATTGGAAAGAGTTTAAATTTGCTCTCTTCCAGGACTAAATTCTTAATATAAATGTCGTGCTGAAAATGTAACCTTTAATATACGGCCTTCTCCTTCCCCATAGGATTATGAATACTTACGTCATACGGACAGGTGTGATTCAAATTGGATTCGCGTATAAATATATCAAAGATTACATTCATAATTGGATACTTTTGGCGATTGGCAAAGAATGCACAGACTTCTTGGGTAATGTTGTATAGAAATGGACGATATCCACTGGCCCGTTTGTAGAGTCCAATATTGATCTGAAAACAAAAGGGGAAACTTTAAATTGGCAGTTTGTGAAGCTGTAGAAGAACTTTTGTTACTGTTGCTTTTGTCACCGGTATTTGATACAATGCCAAATGGGCATTAAGAGCCACAATTCCACGGCGAACAACTTTTAGTTCACATTTTTTAAAAGAACTAAAATTAACATCATTATCTTTACACCGAATATTAGTGAATTTAAATGAGGATTTTCCTTCAATCATAGCTATGCCCAGGGCAATGGATCCCAGTACAATGCCCACGTTATAAAGTAGTCTTTTCATATTGAAATAGAAAATATGTATGTGTAATGACATATCAGACTAAACCTAATGGAAGCTACTGAATTCAGATTAAAAAAAATTTCAATGTGAATTTCAAAACTTTTTAATGGAATATTAGTTGATAATATCGTAATATTTCTCGTCATTATCTAAAATGAAATAAAAAATTATTTGGAAATTTATTAATGGAACATTAATTTAAATTATCGTAGCCCATTATACAATATTTCACAAGAGTTATAATAAAATTTACACGTGTACCCACGTAGACCGCAAAAAACGTACATATCGTACTAAACTATCAGACTTTCAAGATTTTATACAAGTTTAAAGTGTTCACCTTTTAGCAAAATATTCAAAATCGTTTATTTTGAAGTTTACGGAGGAGTACATTAGTAAAAACATTGCACAATTCAGCCACATCCATTTTTATACCCTGCACCTTTTTCCTTTTGTAAATTCTCGAAATATTCATGATAGAACTAAGACGATTTTGCGATTTCCGTCTATCTGTCTTTTTGTCTGTCTGTCTGTCTGTCCGTCTGTCTGTTGTTATCACGCTATCTTTCGAACGAATCGAGATAGAAGGCTAAAATTTTGCACATATTTGTGTATTTGTATTCTCCCAGTAAGCAGTTACGTTGGCAAATGGGCCATGTTGGTCTACTTTTTCGTATAGCCCTCATTTAAAGGTACTTCCCGACATTCGGTATTTTCATGATTTTAACGACATAATTCAACCGTTTATTAATGGGTACTACAGTCTATGAATAAAAATTTCGTATGCTTATCCACGCCTTCGTATAGCCCCCATATAACGGTACCTCCCTTTATTCGTTATTTTGATGATTTTAGCGACATTTTCACCGGAATTGCTTCAAATTTGATATTTGAAGTTCCAAGGGAATACTACAGCCTATGACAGAAAGTTGTCTATGCAGGTCCAGGTCTTCGTATAGACTCCATATATCTGTATCTCCCTACATTCTTTATTTTTCCGATTTCAGGTACATCATTCACCGTTTATTTAAAGTTTCAAATTTTAATCCAATATAACGGCTATATTCAATATTTTTAGGATTTTAACCGAATTTTTAACGGCTTTTATTTTTGGAAAATTTCCAAATTCGTTCCAATTGGTTCATCCGGGCCGAACTTGCTGCTTTTTAACATGTTCTATCTAAAACTATTTCAGCTCTATCCCTTCACCCAATACCAAATTTAGTAGTTTTCAAACAATTATTTGCAAAATTACAGCCAGATCTCAACACCAGATAACAACAGAGACCTCACTCTCAAATTTCGGGATTCCAGCCCTTTTCCTTCTCTATTCCAAATATAGTACTATTTAGTATTTTTCATACGATTATAGTACACATTGTCAAGACCACATCCATATCTCAATTACAAATACCAACAGAGACCTTAATATCAAATATCAGGATTTCAACTCTATTCCTTCATCCAATGCCAACTTTGGTACAATTTAGTATACATGCCCAAAACCACCTTTTTATCTCAATTCCAGATACCAACAGAGACCTCAATAACAAATTTGAGGTTTCTAGCCCTATCAAATTTCATGTTTTCTATGCACCAAATGGCCAAAATTTTTGCACTTCCGACGGAATTCAGCCTAGAAGCAAGTACTTCATATTTTGGTGAAAATCGCTTCAGATATAGCTATAGCTATGTTTCATTCGATTTGGAGTTAAAGTCCCTCACATGCGTAATATGCACTCCATAACAATATTATTTGTTACCGGACATCAGATACAGCTCGAAAATACCTCTGCCAAATTTTATCGAGATCGGTTCAGATTTTTATATACCTTCGATAAACATCTTCATTCGATTTTACGGTTATTGTCCACCGTAAATGTAAATTGGATAGATTTTTATTGGAAAATTGGATAGATTTTTATAGCCTCCACCATACATAGTATGGATGGTATGTTAAGTTCGTCATTTCGTATGTAACTCATCGTAACTTTCGTATGTAACATTCGTATGTAACACCGTCCGTTTGTTGTAATCGCGCTAGAGTCAAAATGAATTAAGATACGAAGCTACAATTTTGACCTGCAGACAGGTCAAGTCCAAAGATGGGCTATATCGGCCGCCCACGATATTATATAAACTCCATATAACAGTACCTTCCGATATTCGGTATTTTGATGATTTAAGACACATTTTTTAATGGAATTGTCTTAAATTCTACACAAGGAGTTCACTGTGAGTACTTTACCCCTTGGAAGGGAAATGTCTATATAGGTCTGCGTATAGCCCTCGATAATGGTGCACTCGATACTCGGTATTTTTGTGATTTTAGCCACAATGTTCAATGGAATAGTCTGAAAATCCACATCTATCCATTCCTTCTGAGTTCTTAACACCCTGGAAGAGTATAGTCTATATAGGTCCACGATATCGTATGTCCCCCATATGAGGGTACCTCCCTATAATCGGTATTTTGATGATTTTAGCTAGATTTTTCAATGGAATTGTTTAAAAATACATGCTAGAAGTTCTTTCTTTCTAAGCACTTTACCACCTGGAAGAGAATTGTCTATATAGGTTCACGATATCGTATAGCCCACGTATAACGGAACCACCCCATATTCGACAACCGGAGTTGTTTCAAATTTCGTATTTAGAGTTCGTAATGGAAAATACAGCCTATGACAGAAAATGGTCTATGTAGGTCTAGGTCTTCGTACAGGCCACATATATCAGTACCTCCCTATATTCGATATTTTGACGATTTCAGGTACAATATTCACCGAAATTGTTTGAAATTTTGTATTTGAAGTTCCTAATAGGTACTACAGCCTGTGGCAAAAAAATCTATGCAGGTTCAGGTCTTCGTATAACACAGATATAACGGTACCTCTCTATATTCGGTATTTTGATGATTTTAGCTATATTATTCACTGGATTTTTTTTCATGTTTCGTATTAGAATATTGTAATGGCTTATGACAAAAGTTGCCTATGCAGGCCTTGAGTTCCTTTACAATCAAGTCTAGGGCTGTTTTGAACTGCAGGGAAGCCTTGGAAAACACTGGGTTGTCCATCAAGCTTTGTTGGGTTCCTGGACATTTTAACATCCCAGGTAACGAGACTGCAGACGAACTGGCCAGATTAGGATCCGAATCAACTACAATTCAAGTAGACAACTCGGTTAAACAACCACTGTGCCATTTCCTGCATGTCATTCACAAACACTACTCTGAGAAAATCCAACAAAAATGGCTAGATGAAATTGGTTGTACCATCCCCAAACGAATCTGGCCCACACTCTCGGAGAAGAGAACAAGGTCGCTGATGTCATTGTCAAAACCGGATCTAAAACTTGTGGTGGGCATCATCACAGGTCACTGTAAGGTGAGGGCTATGACATCGAAATGGGACAGCGACGGCATTGACTACTGTAGGATCTGTCAAGATGAAGAAGAAATCAAGACAATCGAACACTTACTCTGCCACTGCCCAGCACTCATTGATGTGAGACACAGGCTAGTGGGAGAACTAGTGTCACATGACTTGTCGTCTTTTTCTAACACTGACCCTGTAGTAATACTTCAACTAGCCAGAAGACTCAAGTGGCTAAAGACGACACGGCAAACTCCTCAGCCGTAGATTACACTCTACTACACTACCCTTTATCTTCATCTTCTCTATCAATCACTTTTTCTTCTATCTCTCAAAACTCTTTTCTAGGATGAACACAATGGACCTATAGGTCTCCGAGTGGAGCGGTTGCCATATGGCAATCGGCCCGGCCGATTGATTTTTTACTTCTTTAATTTCATAACAATATTATTATTTTAAATTTCCTTTGCTTCTTTCTGGCATGTGTATCCCTTTAACTCATCTCCCCTACATGTTGCACTGTCCTTGAATAGTAACTTAAAAAATAACTTATTTTAAATAAAATTTATGTAAAAATTACACCGTCTGAAGGTGACCTACAAAGACTAGAAAAACAAAACTGAATTAAATAATAATAACCATAATAACAAAAAAAAGTAAGACACCATTAACCATGACGCTCTAGAGCTGGCCAAAATGTCTGCGAGGCACTATGCCAACAACGGAAAAAACTCTTAACATATTAAGGCCTATATAAATTGCAAATTGTTGGTCAATTGTTATGCACAACGCTTGCAATCAGTTAACAACAAACAACACCAACTACCATCAGATTTCGAAAAAAAAAAATACAACAAAATGCAGAAATTGGTAGGGGAAACCCATTTTGCCGAAATTGATATTTTGAATTTTAATTGAATACTTTTTATTCATTAAAGGTCCTTGTATTTCTTGTTGTTCTGGCTTTGGCTGTCGCTGAACCCGGTCATCATGCTCATGTGGCTACAGCACCAGTTCCTGCAGTACCAGCCGTGCCAGCTGCTGCAGCCTATACAGCAGCTGCACCAATTGCGGCTGCCTATACAGCTCCTTTGCCAGCTGCTTATGCTGCTCCTTACGCGGCAGCCTATGCTGCCCCTTACGCGGCTGCCTATCCCGCACCATATGCAGCAGCTTACACAGCTCCCATTGCTGCAGCTGCTGCTTACACGGCACCCATAGCTGCTGCCTATCCTGCACCCTATGCAGCCGCTTATACTGCGCCATATGCTGCTGCCTTTACAGCTCCTTTAAATTCAGCTTTTTCTAGTCAACGTGTGGATATTATCAACAAATATAATGCACCCATCATTAGTGCTCCAGCTAGATTGATAGCACCTGCAACAACCTATATCCCTGCACCAGCTCGTGCAGTTGCCCCAGCTATTGCAGCAGCTCCGGCTAAAATTGTGGCTGCTCCTGGCCGTTTGTCTGCCCCAATTTTAATTTAAAACAGAATTTTCCATTTCTGTCGTTTGAGTTTATCCTTTTCTCCGGGATAGAATTATACACTGCTCAATTTTTTTAGGTTAAGTTTCGTTTCATTTTTTTCTTATCACAAAAATAAAGATGCTTTCATTGTGCAAATACATAATTTGAGGATTTGATTTTGAATTCAATCTAAGGAAATAGTTCGATTAGATTGGAACTCAAAGTAAGCAAAAGGCAGAAAAGAGTTCTTCTGGAAAATCGAGTTTATAGAATGGAATTTATTAACTTCATAGCAAATACCAAGCGTTCAGGTAACTGCAATCTTTTGAAGGTGAGTGAGCATTTCGGTTGCAATTAGTGAATTCGAGGTAGCAACATACTTCTCTGTAATAATCCTATTCTCAATTAAATTGTTTAAATTTTTACTGTTAGCCTAATACCATTGCAAAGGTGTTGTGGGTCAATGTTTTTTAATGAAATCATATCCCAATCCGAAACGATTTCAATATATTTGACAAAATTCACGTTTACACCAAATTCCGTCACACTTTCCACATTTCCATTGAAATTGGAGGTACATACCGTGTTTAGTGCATCAAATATGTGAAATCGGCCGAGAATATATATGGGAGCTATATCCAAATCTTAAACGATTTCTAATTAATTTGTCAAATATATTATTGTAACCAAATTCCGTCACACATTCTGAATTTCATTGGAATCGGACATAAATATCGTGTTTGATGCATAACATTCATGAGATCGGCCGAAATATATATGGGAGCTATATCCAATCCTCAACCGATTTCAATATAATTTGGCACACTTTTTTTGGGACCAAATTTTGTCTCTCATTCCGAATTTCATTTGAATCGGACAAATATATCGCGTTGGGTGCATCATCGAAAATATATATGGGAGCTATATCCCACATCGGAACCGATTTGAATATAATTTGACAAATTTATTTTCTACTCAAATCCCGTCACACATTCCAAATGTCATTGGAATCGAACATACATGTCGTGTTTGGTGCATCAAATACATGAAATCGGCCGAAAACATATATGGTAGCTATATCCAAATCTGAACCGATTTCAATATAATTTGGCAAATTTATTTTTGTACCAAGTTTAGTCTTTCCTGCCGAATTTCATTGGAATCGGACATACGTATCGTGTTTGATGCATCAAATATGTAAAATCGACCGAAAATATACAGGGTGAGATAAAAAAACTGCCATGATTTTTACATTTTTCTTAAATGTTATCGTATGAAAGCTAAAAATGTCGGAAATAGCATCAAATTTTAGAATAAGTTTAGCCAATGAAACAGTCACACGCTGCCCGAATGTTGCTCTTCGGTATTTTGGCCCATTCCGGGCGAAGCGCTTGCTTGAGATGATCAACACTTTGGTATTTTTTAGTGCCAGCCTTGCTTTCCAAAATACTCCAGACACAATAGTCCGACGGATTAGTATCCGGAGATTTTGGTGGCCATTGTGCGCTGGAAATGAAGCGAGGAACCTCATTTTGTGACCATTCTTGGGTGACGCGTGCTGAGTGCGATGGTGCTGAGTGCTGTTGGAAGGTCCCAGGCCTGCGGCCAAAATGTTAGCGTGCCCAAGGCTTTAATACACCTTCCAGAATATTTTCGCGACAATATTCGGCATTTATTCTGATGCCATGGTCGATTAATACGAGCGAAGAGCGACCATCGGTTGTTATGGCGGCCCACACCATCACCATGGCCGGCCGAAGGTGCACATTTTCAGCTGACCTCTTTGGCAAGTAAACACGATCATTTTGTTTGTTTACAAATTGCTGGTCAACGAATGTTTTCTCATCGGAGAAAACCAAATTTGGCAGTTCACCACTTTCGGCCAAGCGAAGCAACTCTTTAGCTCTTTTGAGTTCATCTTCTTTCTGTTGCGGTGAAGGTTCTTGGACTTTTTGGAATTTCAATGGCTTTTCCCCGAGCTCATTTTTCAATATTCGCCGAATGGAATATTGCGATATGTTCAGCACACGAGCCATTTTTTGGCCACTGCGACGCGGTTTTCGATCAAGTCGCTTCTTTACTTTTCGAACCATTTCTGCTGATGTTGCTGTTTTTTTCCGTCCACTTCCTTAACGTCGGGATACGCTATCCGTATCACGCTAACGAGCGATGGTACGAGACACAAAAGATTTATTCACATTTAAATGCTGGAATGCTCTAACAATACCCACTTGTGGTTTTCCAGCCAAACATAAAGAAATCACCCTATCACGCATGAATTCCATCACGAATAACTTTTTTTCTTGAAAATGCTCACAAAAATGCTTTTGTCCGCTTGTAAACAATATAATGATCTGTCATTGGAATAATTTTAACAGCTGTCGGACGAGTGGATTAGAAATGACAGCAGTCTGAAGTTGGTTGCAGTTTTTTCATCTCACCCTTTATATAGACAGTAAGAGGGTAAAGTACTGGAAGAGGGTAAAGTACTCAGAAGGATCTCCTTTTATGGATTTTCCGACAATTTCAAACTTTTTCCTGAAAGGAAAGGTCAAAACTATATTCAGATCTTTCGATAATTTTTTGAAAAGATAATTAACTAATCATAACAAAGTAATTGGTAAATTATGTGAATCGATAATTTAATTCTTTTCGTTTTTCAATGAATTTAATTTTCTCTTCCTAGAAAGAAATATATTTTTAGAGTACTCAGGGCGATACTGATTCATTTTTTTTTCCAAATTTTTCTCTACGATTATCATATTAGTTATGTTCTGATGTTTATATACCTATACTGAACCCTGTTTTATTGGTACCCATAAATATTTGAAAAAAAGGAGGAACCCAGATATGGAGATTACAAATGACACCAATTAGTTTATTAATATCTACCCTTTTATCTTATCAAGAAGACATTCCACTCAAATTCTAGGTAGGGTGAATTTATCGAAGTCTTTTAGCTTGATATAAATGTTAGGATTGTTGGAAATGCTGATTAGTCTTTTAAAAGTTAAAACCTCCGAACGACTACAATGAAAAATTTCACAATAGTTTTGGTAAGTAATTGGGAAATTCGATTCAATGTCACAATTTTTTCAAACGAAATAACTTTTTAGTGTGTTGTACTGCTGGCACTTCCTCAAATCTATGCAGCCTGTATCGATTCTGACATCCATGCCAATGAATTGTGTCAGCAAAATGGCACACAAGGACCTGTGCCGCTTGAATGTGATGACAAATGTGGCAGGTATGTTTCATACTCTTCTAAATAATACTTATGAGAGTCGGCAACATTTAAGATATTGGATAGATACTTACGCACTGAGTTCCATGGTTCAAGAATAAGGGTAGAAATACATAAATCGGTTTGTATTGTCGCATTGCGTATTCAAGTTAAATTAGAAGGAATAGCAACGGAAGACCACGAGCATAGGGTGAGCAAGTATAAATGATGGGCCGAAATTGAACCAAAGGTGAGCATACATAAACCGCTTTTTAAGTGGCTTATTCGCAAAAAACGAATGAGCGTAGGGTCAAAATCGAAGTAAGTCAACCTAAATCTGCTTTGTTCTTTTACGAAGAAGCCATGCAATGGCTTAAGCCGGTTAGAAAAGCGTTTTATGTACACTCACCTTAATGGTCTGTTTCAGAACTGCAAGAATGAAAAAGTTTTTACTACGATAACCGATTTTCCCTTTATGATATGGAAAAAAATTAAAAAAATGTAGTTTCCTGCAGGTTCTGGAACAGAGCATAAGTAAACCGTAAAGGCGATCTGAGAAAAACTTAGTATTCTGATTTGACTTTCTTTAAATTTCAAATCACAGTTCTATGTTTTGAGAGCAAAATTGGTAGTCCAATGGGCATACTGTACGACCTTATATAGGCCTTATAGTACGTTTATATATATGAGGGTTAACCCACTAGATTTGGATTTAAATAGTCAAACCCATTACTTTTACTTCAAATAAATCCCCTCAAAGTAGGTTAACCCTACAAAAAGTTCTAACGTAATATTTATATCCGTCACTGACGTGAATCAACACTACATAATTTTTGCCATACATAGTATGGGGTCGTCTTTTCGTTTGTAACTCATCGAAATAATAATTTAAGACCCAACAAAGTATATACAGGGTGAGATAAAAAAAACTGCAACAAAATCAAATGCCATAATTTTACATTTTTGTTCAAATTTTATTGAATGAAAGCTAAAAAGGTCGGAAATAGCATCAAATTTTAGAATAAGTTTAGATTTGTTCGAATTGGTCACCTTTGGTATGAATTATGGCCTTCAAACGGCCAATGAAATCGTCCCACGCTGACCGAATGTTGCTCTGCGGTATTATGGCCCATTCCCGGCGAAGCGCTTGCTTGAGGTGATCGACACTTTGGTATTTTTCAGGGACAACCTTGCTTTCCAAAATACTCCAGACACAATAGTCCAACGGATTGGTATCCGGAGATTTTGGTGGCCATTGTGCGCTGGAAATGAAGCGAGGAACCTCATTTTGTAACCATTCTAGGGTGGGGCGTGCTGAGTGCGATGTTTGCGTGCCCAAGGCTTTAATACATCCTCCAGAATATTTTCGCGATAATGTTCGGCATTTATTCTGATGCCACGATCGATTAATACGAGCGGAGAGCGATCATCGGCTGTTAAGGCGGCCCACACCATTACAATGGCCGGCGCTTGAGTTCTGGTGGCTTCAATTATTTTGTTTATTTACAAACTGGCGGATAACGAATGTTTTGTCATCAGAGAAACCCAAATTCGGCAGTTCACCACTTTCGGTCGAAGCGAAGAAACCCTTTAGCTCTTTTGAGTCTATTTTCTTTCTGTTTCGGTGTAAGTTCTTGCACTTTTTGGAATTTCAATCGCTTTATCCCGAGTTCATTTGTCAATATTTGCCGAATGGAATATTGCGTTCGATCAAGTACCCCCTATATTCGATATTTTGATGACTTTAGCCACATTTTTTAATGGAATTGTCTGAAAATTCTCACAAGAAAGTTCTTGTACATTACCCCTGAAAGAGAATTGTCTATATAGGTCCACGATATTATATATCCCCTATATAATGGTTCCTGGTTTTTTCAAATTTCGCATATAAAGTTCAGAACAAGTTACTACAGTCTATGATGCAACTTACTTATTCAGGCTTCCATATAACGGTTTGCAGTTGAGCGGTATATTCCGACGGATTTTTTTTTTAAATTTTTCAAGTTTCTGGTGGGTATAAAAGGAGTATAAAAGGGTATAAAGAGTATGAAAAGAACATAGTTGCTTTTTCACTTGTTATACCCTCCACCATCCTATGGAGGGTATATTAGCTTTGTCATTCCGTTTGTAACTCTTCGAAATATTTATGATAGACCCTAAAAAGCGATGTCCGCCTGTCTATGTGTTTGTCTGTTTGTTGTAATTACGCTATCTTTCAAACGAATTGAGATAGATTGCTAACATTTTGGACACATGTGCATTTTCCCAGTAGACAGGTTTAAGTTCGTAAATGGGTCATGGATCGTTTTCGTATAGCCCCCATAAAACGGTACCTCTCGATTCAAATTTCGAATTTGAAGTTCCGAAGAAGCCTGCCGATGACTTAAACCAGCCAAAGAAGCGTTTTATGTATCCTCACCTTAAGTTCGATGCAAGCGTATATTTCTCTAAGTTTGTAAGCAAACACAAGAGTTTAAACCTGTGACTTAATCTTAAATATGCTAAAATGTACATATTCAAATCCATTTCGGTCAATTAATATCGAATGCGAGAATTTGGCCCTGGTTTTGCGTTTTCCCCTAATTCTAAGCTTCCCTATATTATTGTACTACGCTTTATTGTATAATATTAAGATTTTATATAATTATTTGTCGTTTATTTAATTTATATATTTTCAGTTTTATCATTTGTTATAAAATAGGCGATAAACTACAAGGTCTAGTCAAAGCTTGCACTTCGGGAACCTACTACGATCGTTCTCTGAAATATTGTTCATCAAATAAACCAGAATATTGCGCCTAGTGCTCTTCAGTGTTCTTTGCAAGATGATGGTCGCTCCGCTTGACATTTTCCGGTTGCTTCATTAAAATAGCCTTCGCAATAATAGTACCAGCCCAAATATTGTCCAGATAATAAGTAACAATAAACGTATCTGTAAAAAAAAAAACAAAACAAAACATTTTTTATTAATAAAAAATAAAACTTGCATTAATACACTCCACAAGAAGCAAACAGAATTATAGCGTGTTTACACGCAAAATCCCTACTCGGGTTAACCGTGATAATTGGCCAAAGACAATAAATTGAACGTAAGTTTGCTCTTAGTCAGATTTATTGTGATTGGTCAATTATCAGGCTTAATCCGTAAAAGTACTTTTGTCTAAATGGCAAAGATATGAAATGTGAATCCACGTATCAGGTCCACACTAAAACTTGAATGACGCAATATTTCCTTCATCTAAAATTTAACAATTTTAAATATTTTCTTAACAATCAATTCATGACAACACCATGGTGGAACTAGGTAACAGCAAGTTCCCACTGATTACAAGTGCCAAAATCGATTTGATGCTTTTGTATTTTTTTCTTGTTCACTGAATTATATTTCAATTAGGGATAAAGCAGTAAAAGCAAGTAAAACAGCAATAAGTTCGACCGGGCCATTTTTAAAGAATTTGGAAATTTTCAAAAAAAAAAAAAAAAAATCTTAAAAATAAAAATAAAATAATAAAAATTCTCTTCAAATCTTAAAAATATAGCCGAATATAGCCGTTACATTGGTGTCTATACGAAGCCGTGGTCCTGTACAGGCAACTTTTGTCATTGGCCATTTCAATATTCAAATACAAAACTTTACAAAAACCGGTTAATAATGTAGCTAAAATCATGAAAATACCGAATATAGGGAGGTACCGTTATATCGGGGGAAAGCGAAGACCTGGACCTGCATAGACAATTTTATGTGACTGGATGCGGTACCTAACTTCAAATACGAATATTTAAATAATTTCGGTGAATATTGTACCTAAAATCGTCAAAATAATGAATATAGGGAGGTACTGATATATGGGGACTATACGAAGAGCCTGACCAGCATAGACAATTTTCTGGCATAGACTGTAGTTCCCCTTATCAACTCTAAATATGAAATTTGTAATAATTCCGGTAAATAATGTCGCTCAAATCATCAAAATACGGAATATTGGGAGGCTGTACGAAGACGTGGGCCTGCATACGCAATTTTTATACCTTCCACATTGGAAAGTAGGGTATATTAACTTTATCATTTCGTTTGTAACGTCCCTAAACATTCGTCATAGACCCCATAAAGTATATACAGGGTGAGATGAAAAAACTGCAACCAACTTCAGACAGCTGTCATTTCTAAGCCACTCGTCCGACAGCTGTTAAAATTTTTCCAGTGATAGCTCATTATATTGTTCACAAGCGTACAAAAGCATTTTTGTGATAATTTTCCAGAAAAAAAAGTTATTCGTGATGGAATTTAAACGTGATAGTGTGATTTCTTTATATTTGGCTGGAAAGCCACAAGTGGCTATCGTTAGAGCACTCCAGCATTTAAATGTGAATAAATTTTTTGTGTCTCGTACCATCGCTCGTTGCCATGATACTGGTAGCGTAGCCCGATGTCAAGAAAGTGGACGGAAGAAAGCTGCAAAATCAGCAGAAATGGTTCGAAAAGTAAAGATGCGACTTGATCGAAACCCGCGTGGCAGTGGCCGAAAAATAGCTCGTGAGCTGAACCTATCGAAATATTCCATTCGGCAAATATTGAAAAATGAACTCGGGGTAGAGTCATTGAAATTCCAAAAAGTGCAAAAACTTTCACCGCAACAGAAAGAAAGTAGACTCAAAAGAGCTAAAGAGTTGATTCGCTTGGCCGAAAGTGTTGAACCGCCGAATTTGGTTTTCTCTGATGAGAAAAACTTCTTTGTCCAGCAGTTTGTAAACAAACAAAATCATCGTGTTTACTTGCCAGAGAGGTCAGCTGGTCATGGGCCGCCATAACAGCTGATGGTCGTCGTCCACTCGTATTAATCGACTGTGTCATCAGAATAAATGTCGAATATTATCGCGAAAATATTCTGGAGGGTCTTTTAAAGCCTTGGGCACGCAAACATTTTGGTCGCAGGCCTTGAACATTCCAACAGGATTCAGCACCATCGCACTCAGCTCACACCACCCAAGAAGGGTTGCAAAATGAGGTTCTTCGCTTCATTTCCAGCGCACAATGGCCACCACAATCACCGGATACCAATCCGTTGGACTATGGTGTCTGGTGTATTTTGGAAAGCAAGGTTGGCACTAAAAAATACCAAAGTGTCGATCACCTCAAGCAAGCGCTTCGCCGGGAATGGGTCAAAATACCGCAGAGCAACATTCTGGCAGCGTGTGACGGTTTCATTGGCCGTTTGAAGGCCATAATTCGTACCAAAGGTGACCAATTCGAACAAATCTAAACTTATTTTAACATTTTATAATATTTCCGACATTTTCGCTTTCATTCAACGAAATGTAAAAATTATGGCGTTTGACTTTTGATGCAGTTTCTTTTATCTCGTAGGCTATACGATATCGTGGAATTCGTAATGGGTACTACAGCCTATGACAGAAAATAGCAGGATTTGTGTTTAATTTGTGTGGTGAAAAACGTCGACCGTGTACGTCGAATTTTAGGACACGCTCTAAAATACAGGTAGTAGCATCATGAGATTTTTTCAAAGGCATAATTTTACACGGTTACCTTAATAATTATACCATGGAATTTCCTTTCAAGGGCGGTAAAAATTGCCATCTTGAGAATTCGGTAGTGTGGATCAAAGTCTATTCTACTTGGTCAAATATTAGGCATTTGGTGAACAATTAAGGTAAATCGGGCAAAGGTATATATACTATTAATTTCCTAATCTGAAGCTATTGCCACCAATTTCAGAAGGGTTCCTCCTTGGGCCAAACAAATGAAATGTGCAAATTTTTGTCTCGATTGAACATTGCAATCTGTAATTTAGACATAGTGATGGACGGCAATGCATTTTTGCAGACCATCATCTACATATAATCCGCAATTATAATAAGAAAGTTAGACTTACTCTTGGCATGTGGGATCATTGGTCTTGTAATAACCCACTTTAGAAAGTTGTTTACAAAAGGTATTTGCATCCACAGGTGGCGCTTCCGTAGTTGGTTGGCTTGTACTCGACGATTCTGTTGTTATACTTGGTGTTGACACTTCTGTTGTGGGTTCATCAGTTACGGTAGAATCAGTGGTAACTGTAGACTCAGTGGTTACTGTAGAATCAGTGGTTACTGTAGAATCAGTGGTTACTGTAGAATCAGTTGTAGGTCCATTAGTTACGGTCGAATCAGTAGTTGGTCCATCCGTTACTGTCGATTCAGTTGACATATCTGTTGTCGACTCGGTTGGTGGTGTGGCAGTGGTAGTGACAGTTAAACATGAGGGCTAAGTGGAATAAAATGAAAATGTAATTAAGTAAAATCCAATACTCCATCATAAGCCTACTTACTCTATTTGTTGCAGCTGGCACACAAACTTCGCTGGCATATATGTTACACACAAATCCCGGCGGACATGAATGCGCGACAGTCGAGTATCGGCCAAAGCAATAACTGTATGTGGTTTGATCGAGACATATGAAATCACCGGTGATTTGATCGCAAGTGCCACAAGTTTCTTCATAGCAAATGGGAGTGAAACCTTCACTGGGCAGCCGGCATATTTGTCGATCAGCTGTGCAAATATGTCCCGACGGACAAGGGGTTATTGTGGTAACGAATTCACCTAAAATTAAGCAATTTAAAATTATGAAATTAAAAACAATAGCAGACATAGCACTTGACACACTACTAGACGAAGGTACTGCGGAACTTAAAAAAAGTGTATTAAATTTAAACTATTGGCGAAATACGTGGATGATATCTTAGCGATAATTAATAATCCAATAAGGACAAGTCAAAAGTTGGACAGGGCCGACAATATGATACTACTATTCATATTGAGTAGAGATCCCGTAACAAAAGAATTTATTTAAAGTAGATCATACCACCTATAAACCGTACCTCCCGAAATTCACTCCATTTGGGGTGATATTAACGATTATTCGCACAATAATCCTGAAATCGGATTAAGGATATATATGGAAGCTATATCCAAATCTTAGCCAATCTCGTCAAAATTCGGCAAAGGTATTTCCGAGCTCTTTAAGATATGTGGTACCAAATATCATTCTTGTGGAGTGCATATTACGAATGTGAGGGACTTAAAGCCCCAAATCGGATGAAACATATATATGGGAGCCATAGCTATATTTGGACCGATATTCACCAAATTGGATGTACTTGCTTCTATGCTGAATTTTGTCGGAAGTACCAAATTCATTTGGACTGATATTGACCATTTAGTGCTCAATTAACCCAGTTTTAAAATTCAAACCCTAAGGTTACGAAAATTTTTAAAATAGTACCAAACTTCTAAATTCATACCATTTGGTACAGGGTGAGATGAAAAAAAAACTGCAAACACCTCAGACTGCTGTCATTTCTAAGCCATTCGTCCGAACTCGGGCTAAAGAGTTGCTTCGCTTGGCCGAAAGTGTTGAACTGCCGAATTTTGTTTTCTCCGATGAGAAAACATTCGGTGTCCAGCAATTTGTAAACAAACAAAATGATCGTGTTTACTTGCCAGAGGGGTCAGCTGAAAATGTGCACCTTCGGTTGGCCAGCAGAACTCAAGCGCTGGTCATGGTGATGATGTGGGCCGCCATAACAACCGATGGTGGCTCTTCGCTCGTATTAATCGACCGTGAAATCAGAATAAATGTCGAATATTATCGTGAAAATATTCTGGAGGGTGTATTAAAGCCTTGGGCACGCAAACATTTTGGCCTCAGACTTTGGACATTCCAACAGGACTCAGTACCATATCACTCAGCACGCACCAGCCAAGAATGGTTACAAAATGAGGTTCATTTGCAGCGCACAATGGCCACCAAAATATCCGGATGCCAATCCGTTGGACTATTGTGTCTGGAGTATTTTGGAAAGTAAGGTTGGCACTAAAAAATACCAAAGTGTCGATGACCTCAAGTAAGCGCTTCGCCGGGAATGGGTCAAAATATCGCAGAGCAACATTCGGGAAGTGTGTGACGGTTTCATTGGCTGTTCGAAGGTCATAATTCGTGCCAAAGGTGACCAATTCGAACAAATCTAAACTTATTCTAAAATTTGGTGCTATTTCCGACATTTTTTGCTTTCATTCAATAAAATTAAAAAAAAAATGTAAAAATTATGGCGTTTGACTTTGTTGCAGTTTTTTTATACCTCACACTGCATATTTTTAATGTAGGGATTATAGAAATAAAATGAACCTTCACACGTCGTCATAATTTCATCAAACTTAGGTCAGGAGCAAAATATTGTGAAATGAGTGTCCGATTTTCTTTAAACCTAGTATTTCAATAGACCTATACTTTATAACTTCTTAATTTAGACATACATACCATTATAACATGTTGAAAAGTGTGTTTCATCGCGGCAGGCTACATTATTCGAAGCCAAGCAAATATCACATACTCCGACTCTTGCTGCTTCGCCGCTGGGATAGAATATTAAAAATAACTGGCGGAAAAAATAAAATAAACATTAATATTTCCGATTTTTTTTTTAAATTCACTAGTTTTTTTACATTCACTATAACGGTTGTTATTCGAATTGAATTCAACAGAGCCATAACCAAAATCTACAAAGCTGTTGATTTTAATATTCGATATTAATTTATTTTTAATTTATGTTCTATCCGATTCTTTAGAGCTCTTCTATTTTTAGTCTTGCGTCTTTTCAATAACTGACTGACGAATAATTCCGGTCAACTAAACTACTTGGCCCACATTACAAAAGTCACAGAAATTGTTGGTCTATTTTGTTTGTTTGCTTCAGATTTCGGCTTTATATGATTATCATAAAGATAAATAAATCAATTGGATAGCGCAAATGAGTTCGTTTCGTGATATTATCGTTGAATTTCGGCACAAGTGAAATTTGGTGACAAATTGTGTGTGCGTGTGTGTCTATGCACATACTTCTGTTAGAGGGAGAGGAGTAGTTCACGTGTCTAGGCTTTTGTTATTTGATTTCTAACATTAACTAGAAATTTGATTGACTTTTTATTATGTTCAATCTCGCCGAGCTGAGTTGATCTAGCTATGTATGTCCGTCCGTCCGTCTGTCGTCTGTCCATGTTAATTTGTAACCACTCTACAGGCCGCAATTATGGCCCGATCTTCACGAAATTTAGAATGGAAGTGGGGCTAGAGACAGAATATAACCCAATTTCTTTTGGAGATGATAACATAATATTTAGGGGTTGAAACGGACCAAAAACTGAAAAAATGCCTGATTTTGCAGTTGTTATTAGTATGGGGCTAGAGCCTAGGGCTGGGCAGAAGCCTTCCAATTTTTATGGTCAACGGGTAATATTTAGTGGGTGAATTAGACCATAACATTTGTGTTAAATAAAAGTCGCGATTATTTTTAATCCCGGCGAAATCGAAAATAGACGAACAGGTCAATTCTGACCGTTACGTAGATGCCGATAGTAAATATATTGGTTATATATAGCGAAATATATACAATGTGTATATACAAAGGAATGGTTGGGCCGATTTTGACAAATTTTGTCAATTCAGAATGCCCTCTTGACATAAAAGTATAAAATCTAAAAAAATCGCAGAAAAATATGCCAATAATGATAATTTTGATGATTTTGTAGTATTTTGTGACATATTTTTATTTTTTCATATTTTTTATCACATGCGATTTTTTCAATTTTACTTATAATATTTTGTAATATTTTTTACAACACAGGTTGGGGATATTATATAAGTATTGCAAATATCGTCCGATCCTCACGAAAATTTTCACCAGGGTAGGTTTGGGCTCAGAAGGGCTAGGCCTATTGTTTTCAAAGATGTCCGCAATACATTAGAGGGTTGAAATGGACCAACAACTAAAAATTTTCCTAATTTTGCAGCCGTTATAAAGGTCACAAATAGAAACCAAAGGACACGAAATCTCGCATAAAGTTAGAGTAAGGACAGCGGATACAATGGACCACTACTTTTGTGTGAAAAAAAAATACCAACATTACTTACAGATTATATCCGAAATACACAATAGGCGAACTTCTGGCTTTTTATGCTGACTTCGTTGACGAATATAGCCAAATATCGTAGAAAAGCAAATCATATAGATGAGTCTAAATTTGGAGACACAGAGGGGCTTCTTACTTTTGTAGATGATTGCAAAATATTTAGGGGTTCAAATTAACCAAAACAGAAATGTTGTTCCGATCACACAATTGAAGCCAATCGACACGCCTGTGAAGAGAGTTAAGGACAGGGAAGAATTCTAGCATTTTGGATGACAATTGGATTATATTTATCTGTAAAATGGACTACAACAACTAACAGCCCAACGGAGTGCATAAATGTTGGGCAAATGCCCCTAGTCAAAATCCTAATTTCAAAAACGAAATCTTCCAATATGGATTTGGACATATTGTAGTGTTGTAGGGTAAAACATAGTCGGCCCCGCACGACTATAGCCTTTTCTTACTTGTTGAGTCTATTTTCTTTCTGTTGCGGTGTAAGTTTTTGCACTTTTTGGAATTTCAATGGCTTTACCCCGAGCTCATTTTTCAATATTTGCCGAATGGAATATTGCTATATGTTCAGCTCACGAGCCATTTTCGGCCACAGCGACGCGGGTTTCGATAAAGTAGCTTGTTTACATTTCGAACCATTTCTGCTGGTGATGCTGTTTTCATCCGTCCACTTCCTTGATGTCGGGCTACACTTTCATATCACGGAAAACGAGCGATGATACGAGACACAAAAGATTTATTTACATTTAAATGCTGGAGTGCTCTATCGATAGTCACTTGTGGTCTTCCAGCCAAATATAAAGAAATCACACTATCACGCTTGAATTCCAGCACAAATAACTTTTTTTCTGGAAAATTCTCACCAAAATGCTTTTGTACGCATGTAAACAATATAATGAGCTGTCACTGGAATAATTTTAACAGCTGTCGAAATGACAGCAGTCTGAAGTTTTTGCAGTTTTTTTTCATCTCACTCTGTATGTATAAATGTTGATCATTGAGTGATTTAAGAATGGCATTTTCATCCATTTTTTATACCCTCCACCATACATAGGTATATTAAGTTCGTTATTCCGTTTGTAAGTCATCGAAATAATAATTTTAAATTCAACAAAGTATATATATTCTTGATCAGCGTAAAAATTGCCATCATTGCCTGTGCTGCTGCCAAGCCTGGTTTGGTTGGTACTCCTTTGGCTTACACAGCACCCGCTGCTGTTGTTGCTGCTGCCCCAGCTCCATTTGTCACTGCCACCAGTAGCCAATATGTTGCCCGTAACTACAATGGTATTGCATCGGCCCCCATTGTTGCTCCCGTTGCTACCCCTGTTGTAGCCAAAGCAGTTGCTGCTCCAATTGTTGCCAAAACTTTCGCCGCTCCCGTAGTTGCTGCCTACACCGCCCCTGTTGCTGCCGCTTACACTACCCCTGTTGTTGCCAAATATGCTGCCACCTATGCAGCTCCTTTCGCATACTCTGCACCCTTGACTTATGCTGCTGCCCCAGCTCCAGTTTTGTTTTAAAAAGTTTGTGTCTGAACGTGTGATATAAATAAAATAAATTATTAAAAATATATATGTATTAAATTTTTTCTTCATCCCATGGTGCCATAAAAAACTAAGCTACCAGCTGGTTACAACTTTTTTCTGAGTGTGCTCGTTTTCTGCCAATTTTCTGTATGTACAGGGTGAGATAAAAAAATGCAACAAAGTCAAACACCATTTTTTTATTTTTTTTAATGAAAGCCAAAAATGTCGGAAATCGGAAGTTTAGATTTGTTAGATTTGGTCACCTTTGGCACGAATTATGGCCTTCAAGCGCCGGCGAAGCGCTTGCTTGAGGTGATCGATACTTTGGTATTTTTTAGAGTCAACCTTGCTTTCCATAATTCTCCAGACACAATAGTCCAACGGATTGGTATCTAGAGATTTTGGTGGCTATTGTGCGCTGAAAATGAAACGAGGAACCTCGTTCTTGGGTGGCGCGTGCTAAGTGCGTTGGTGCTGAATCCAGAATATTTTCGTGATAATATTCGGTATTTATGCTGATGCCACGGTCGATTAATACCAGCGGATAGCGACCATCGGCTGTTATGGCGGCCCACACCATCACCATGTCGGCGCTTGAGTTCTGGTGGCCAACCGAAGGTGCACATTTTCAGCTGACCTCTTTGGCAAGTAAACATGATCATTTTGTTTGTTTACAAACTAATGTTTTTTTCTCGGAGAAACCCACTTTCGGCCAAGCGAAGCAACTCATTAGCTCTTTTAAGTCTATTTTCTTCCAGTTGCGGTGTAAGTTCTTGCACTTTTTGAAATTTCAATGGCTTTACCCCCATTTCATTTTTCAATATTTGCCGAATGGTATATTGCGATATGATCAGCTCACGGGCAATATTTCGGCCACTGCTACGCGGAACCAGGTAGCTTCTTTATTTTTCGAACCATTTCTGCTGATGTTGCTGTTTTCTTCCGTCCACTTACTTGACGTCGGACTACGCTACCAGTATCACGGTAACGAGCGAAGGTACGAGATACAACAGAGTTATTCACATTTAAATGCTGGAGTGCTCTAACGATAGCCAGTTTTGCCATGAAATTGAGATATTGAACAGTTTGGATCATGTTTTTGAAAGAAAATCCTGGCTCTCCATACATCTTTCGCCTTTTTAATTTATTTCAAAATTTTTAAAAAATATCAAAATCATAAAAAAAAAACAAGTAAGCAAAGGCTATAGTTGTGCGGGGCCGACCATGTGATACCCTACAACACTACAATATGTTAGAAGCCCCCTTATTTCCAAATCTATTTTGGAATATTTCGCTTTTGAAATATGTCACGGAGCACTGCCCAGATATTATCCTTAGCATTTTGACCAGGGGCATTTGTCCAATATTTACGCACTCCGTCGTGCTGTTAGTTGTTGTGGTCCATTTTACGGCTATATATATTCCAATGGTCATCCTAGATGCTAGAATTCTCTCCTGTCCTTAACTCTTTTCTCAGGCGTGTCGATTGGCTTCAATTGTGTGATCAGGACATTTTTTCGGTTTTTGGTTCATTTGAACCCCTACATATTTTTCGATCATCTCCAAATGCAAGAGGCCCCTCTGTATCTCCAAATTTGGACTCATCTATATGATTTGCTTTTCTACGATGTTTGGCTATACTCGTTAACGAAATCAGTTTAAACAAGTAAAAAAGCTGTAAGTTCGGCCGGGCCGAACTTTTAATACCCTCCACCATTTGGTACAAATTTGGCAATTTCCAAAAAATAAACCCGTTAAAAATTCTGTTAAAATCTTAAAAATACCGAATGCTTATACGACGACGTGGGACTGCATAGGCAACTTTCGTCATAAATTATTACAATATTTAAATGCGAAACTTGAAGAAAAATCTGTTTATAATGTAGCTAAAATCGTCAAAATACCGAATATGGGGGAACCGTTATATGGGGGCTATCCGAAGACGTGGACCTGCACAGACAATTTTCTGGCATGGGCTGAAGTATCCATTACGAACTTCACATACGAAATTTGAAACAATCCCTGTAAATAACGTCGCTTAAATCATTAAAATACCGAATATCGGGGGGTACCGTTATATGGGGGCTATATGAAGACTTGGACCTACATGGCTAATTCTTTGACTTTGGATGAAGTATCCATTACGAACTTCAAATACCAAATTTGAAACGATTCCGGTAAACAATCTCGCTAAAATCATCAAAAAACCGAATATCGGGGGGTACCGTTATATGAGGGCTACAGGAAGACGTGGACCTGCACAGATAATTTTCTGTCTTAGGCTGTAGCATCCATTACAAACTTCAAATGCCAAATTTGAAATAATTCCGGTGAATAATGTCGCTAAAATCATCAAAATACCGAATATCGGGAGGTACCGTTATATGGGGGCTATATGATAACTTGGACCTACATGGCCCATTTACGAACTTAACCTGCCTACTGGGAAAAAATACATGTGTGCAAAATTTTAGCCTTCTATCTCAATTTGTTCGAAAGATAGCGTGATTACAACAGACAGACAGACAGACGGACAGACAGACGGACAGACAGACAGACAGACGGACATGGCTAAATCGTCTTAGAATTTTACGCTGATCAAGAATATATATACTTTGTTGGGTCTGACATGAATATTTCGAGGAGTTACAAACGGAATGACAAAATTAATATACCCTCCATAGTATGGTGGAGGGTATAAAAAGTAATAAGTTCGCTTTTTGTGTATTTCGGATATCATCTGTAAGTAATGTTGGTATTTTTTCACACAAAAGTAGTGGTCCATTCTACTCATTGTACTAAACTCTAACTTCATGCGAGATTTCGTGTCCTTTGATTTCTATTTGTGACCTTTATAACAGCGGCAAAATCAGGAACATGTTTAGTTGTTGGTCCATTACAAACCCTAAATATATTGCGGCTAAATATAAGGCTAACCCTATGAAAATGTTCATGAGAATCGGACGATAATTGCAATATGTATATAAAAACCCCAACATGTGTTGTAAGGTGCAAAAATATTACAAAATATACAGCTCAATATTATAAGTCAACTTGAAAAAATCGCATGCGATAAAAAATATGAAAAATAAAAAAAAAAAAATAATAAAAATAATAAAAATAAAAAAAAAATAAATAAAATAAATAAAATACTACAAAATCTATATTAACATCATTATTGGCATCTGTTTATGCGACGTTTTTAGATTTTATACTTTTATGCCAAGAGGACATTCTGAATTGACACAATTTGTCAAAATCCATTCTTTAGATATAAGCATTCTAGCTAACATCCCCTTCCTTCTATTCTGATCATAACTCCACCTCCATTCTAAATTTCGTGAAGATCGGGCCATAATTGCGAACTGTAGAGTGATTACAAATTAATATGAACAGACGGCGAGATAGGAAGATCCATATATACATTCCTATGTGGGAAATCAATATTTCGAGGTGTTACATAATTTTTGGCCCAATCAAACTTATAAATATAAATAAACATTAAGTTCGGTCGGGCCGAACTCTTAATGCCCTCCACCATTGGGTAAAGAAAACATTTTTATATAAAAGTAAAGTACACCACGTACATTTGGAACACTTTCAAAAAACAAGTAAAAAAGCAATAAGTTCGGCCGGGTCGAACTTTGAGTACCCTTCACCATTTGAAACGAATTTGAAAATTTTCAAAAAAATAAAATCGGTTAAAAATACCGAATATAGCCGTTATATGGGGGTTTATGCGAAGACGTGGATCTACATAGGTAATTTTTGTCACAAGCCATTACAATATTCACATACAAAACTTGTAGTTAAAATCATCAAAAGTACCGAATATAGAGAGGTACCCTTATATCGGGGCTATACGAAAACCTGGACCTACATAGACAATTTTTTTCAGTCATAGGTTGTAGTATTCATTATCAGCTTTTAATTTAAATACGAACTTTGAAGCAATTCCGGTGAATAATGTCGCCAAAAATTGTCAAAATCCCGAATATTGCGAGGTACCATTATATGGAGGCGATACGAAGATGTCGACCTATATAGACAATACTCTTCCAGGGGGTAATAAAGTACTCAGAAGGAACTCCTTGTGTGGAATTTCAGACAATTCCATTAAAAAATGTGGTTACCGTTATATGGGGGATATATGATATCGTGGACCTTTGTAGATAATAATCTTCCAGGGGGGCAAATTACTCAGAAGGAACTCTTTTCAGGATTTTCAGACTATTCCATTGAAAATTTTAGCTACAATCATCAAAATACCGAATATGGGAGATATGCGATATCGTGGACCTAATTCCATTAAAAAAATGTGGTTAAAATCATCAAAATACCGAATATTGGGGGGTATCGTTATATTGGGGTCATACGATATTGTAGATCGACATAGCCCATCTTCGAGGTTGACCTGCCTGCGCACCAAAGACTGATCGGTGCAAAATTTTAGCTTCCTATCTTAATTCGTTTTAAGTCTAGCGTGATTACAACAACGGACGAATGGACAAGGCTAAATCGTCTTAGAATTTTACGCTGATCAAGAATATATATATTTTATTTTGATGAGTTTCAAACGGAATGACGAACTTAATATACCCCGCATACTGTGTATGGTGGAGAGTGTAAAAATTTATCTTTACAACGTTTCCTGTCAGGGTTCACTCATCGAAGTCTTCCACGACATAGTTACGTTGAAATTAATTTAAATTTTAATTATATAAATATAACAACACCTGTTTTCTTTTTTTGTTAATAAAATAATTTTATTCCAGAAATGAGTATCAGTCTTTGGTATTCAATGAATGTCCAAAATCTACCACAAAGCGGGGGCAGCAGCGGCATAAGTCAATGGTGCGGAGTAGGCAAATGGTGTGGCGTAAGCGGCAGCGTAAGGAGTGCTGTAGGCGGCAGCTACTGGGGCAGCAAAGGTTTTAGCAACAAGGGGTGCGGCAAAGGTCTTGGCAACAACAGGGGCAGCGAAGGTTTTAGCTACAACTGGGG